CCCTAAACCCCTAAACCCTAAGATCCCGAAAGCAAAGCCCTTCTGACATCCTGCGCGCGCTGTCGTGCAGCAGCCAGCTCGGCCTGCACAGGCATCCGCAGCGCAACGACTTGGGGGGTTTACGAAAATAGGGGGGCCCTGATGGTAGTAGAATTCCCTTATGAAAAAGGACCCCAATAAGGTACCCCGAATATCGTAAGCCACCACATTGTGTGTGGAGTAAAGAGTGGATTTGGCACGCAAAGTTATTCTCACGTTGCATCAGGAGTCTGCTCGTGGAGTCACTTCACTATCCTCTGGGGACTGCTGCGCCCACGTAGACGTACGTGTCGAACCCCAGTCCTCTGAACCCAGGTCCCTCAACCCGAAGATCCATCCGCCGCCATATTTTTACAAGCCCACGAAACCCGAACAATGGCCCTCCTATTTAAAACTGACAAGCCTAACCTCGCACTTCTGAAGCCCAATCCCCTCTATACCACCTTAAGCCCCAGCCTTTCCGAGCCGCTTCCTGGTGAGATCAGGAAGGGCCGCCCCTTTCTGGCAGATGCGCTTCCGCGGACCCTGGATCCAGGATGAGAGCGCTGTTTTGGGATTTGCTTAAGGGTTTAGGGCTTAGGGTTCAGGGTCTCAGGGCAAACTTTATCCTTACGCCCGGCATCCTGCCAGCACTCGCTCCATTCGAAGCGAAGGAAAGCGCTTTCACTTGTCTTGTTCAGGGTCACCTCTACGCAGCGCCGGGGGTAACTGGTATGGTGGTTTCACGCCACTCCGCGAGTTTCTTCGACTTTTTCGCCTGCATTGAGCTGCTCGAAGAACGAGCTTGTATGCAAAAGGCGGACTCCATTATTGAGATTCCTTGTGTGTTTAATATTGGTGACATTAAGAGCCGCAATGTACTCTCCCATCGCCCGCTCCAGCAACCAAGACAGTCAGGAAATGCCCCAAACCAGTCTCAAGAAAACGCACGTGCAGAAGTTCGTCGGACCCTATGCAATATGCGAGACTCAAAACCTTAGAAAGTCACAATGCAACAAAACCTCTTTTGGGGGGGGGGGGACGACGCGCCCGCGCCTCATCCGCCGCCTTCTTCCCCTTCGCCTTGGGCGCAGGAGGCTGGCCGCGGCGCTTCATCGACGCTGGGCTGACTGTGGCGTTTCGGTAGGGTGGACCCTGGTGGGACCCTGTGGGTCCATGTTGGGTTGTGGTTCTGGGGTGTTGGGCTGTGGGCTGTGGGCTCAAGAAGCTGGGATGTTCGGGTTGGGGTCAAGGCTTAGGAGTTTGTTGGGGTTGACAAGTTGAGGGCTGGAAACTTGCGTGCTGCCTCACTTCATGGCTCCCTCACTGATCATGGCAGCTCCGGAGAAGTCTGGGCACTATGCGGCACTCTGCTAGAACGGTGAAGCTCTTTAACCTTGGCTGACTTCTGAACCCCTCCTAAAAGCTTAGCTTTCAGGCTCCTTGTGGTAGTTTCTACAAAAACCAATAAGTTGAAGTCCTAAGAGCCAGCCAGCAGAAAGCCAAGTAACTAAACTCAGGCTGGCACAGCTTGGAACATGAGAAAAACCGCTCGAAAACATCACATTGCGCCGCTCATGCTCCTGAGCCCTAAAACCCCAAAACCCCAAACAACACTAAACCCCCAAAGCCGGCAAAGAAATGGAAACTCCCACGTGAGGGCTTGAAGCCTTTGGGGCCTGATGACATCACTCGTAGGGTTTAGGGTTCAGGGATCCTTTTTTTCTAAGCCCTAAGCCCTTTTTGCATCCGGACTCCCGTGGGCCTAAGCCCTAAACCCTACACCCTAAACCGTTTCACAGCCCTGCGGAGCTGACACGAGGCAAGACCTCAATAACGTTCGTGTTAAGATGCGGCAGTTCGGAAACTTCGGGATCTTTCGCCAACTGCCCTCACCCAAGCCAGTCTTTTTGTGTCCGCCTTCTTCTCCATCCTGGGCAACGTCTAAGCTTTGCGTCAGCTCGTCGACGAGGCGGCGCACGTGAGGTTTCAGACTTGGGTCTCGCAGAAGGGGATGACACTTCCGTAAGACCTCCAGGCAAGTCAGCATCACCCTAAACCCTTTTTGCCACTGGACACCCTAAACCCTAAACCCTTTTGCAGCAGGCTTGCGTGAGTCCTCGCCTGGATCAGGCTAAACCCTAAACCCTAAACCCTAAACCCTAAACCCTAAACCCTAAACCCCCTTCAGGCCTCACCAGAGAGTCCAGCAGGCCGGCAGCCGGGGCTCAGCGTATCCCCCACACCTGCAAGCCATTCGAAGGCGGGTTTAGTGTTTAGGGTTTCGGGTTTAGGGTTTAGGGTTAGGGTTTAGAGTGTTTTGCAAGTGCCGGACGCGAGCACGCTGATGTTGGATGTTTTGGGGCGGATCGCAGCTGGGGTCTCTTGGAGGTAGCACCGTATTGTTGAGGGATCTGGCTTAAAGTTTCGGGGTAATGTGTTTTTAAAGGAATTCTATCCCTGAGCGTGGAAAGAAGCACGCAGCCTGCTGTCGGGATGGAGGTTTAGCATGCGCGCCACTTCCTACTCCTTCTTGCCAGGGATTTGGCTTGTTGCTCGCTTGAACAAGACGAATCTACTTTTACACGCGGACGCTGCTTCCTGCAATGCTACCGACAACGACCCACCATGCTCCTGACGCTAGGTTCATGGGTAGGGTTGCAAGTATAGTACTCACACTTATGACCCTATTTAGGGTACTTCTAACCTGAATTACTGTACTTATAAGTATCCATGAACCTCCAAGTATTTCCAGCCCAGAGGCGGCAGAACTCGCTCGGCAGCAGCACTGTGGAGTCCCAGTCGGAAAGGCTGGTCCTGAGGAGGAAGCTCCAGGTTAGGGCTTTAGGGTTTAGGTTTAGGATGGTTTAGGGTTTGGAGTTTAGGGATATGCATAAGGCCATGTGCAGAGAATGACCACTGGGGAATGGTCCACTGGTTCGCAGTCGTTTCATGACATTCTCTGTATTCCCATGGCTGAGCTGCCCAAAAACCTCACGGAAGCAGTCAAGTTTGAATGGAGTGGGAGCAGGGAGCTTCAAGACTTACGTTACCATGGGATGCTGGGCTCTTACAGGGCCACACCATCTACCCATCCGCAACTGCAGGCTATCGCCAAGCATCCAGGACGGAGTCTGGCCAGCGATCAGCTCCTATGACTCGTGCAGGAATTGTGCTCCAGTGGCAGGACGCTCCCTGATGCTCCCTGCTAGGCTGTCTTCCTGACCGACATGCCCTGAGAATAGGGGTTTACAAGGCATACTGGTCAAGCCGTAGACGTAGGGGCGCGTGTCGTGGTGAGGTACGTTGTCATAGCCTTGGGCAGCTCTACGGCTAGAGGCCCCAATGCTTCCACACGCCCAACAGCTGACACGGGCTAAGCTCTTGGAGCCGCCGGCAAGCACTGAAAACTTTGAAGCCGACTCAGAACTCCCTCTCCCTCCCCCTTGTTGCCGGATGATGATCATGTGCCCTGTGTATACAAAGTGGAAATAAACCCTAAGCCCTAAAGGCCCTAAACCCCAAAACCCTAAACCCTAAACCCTAAACTTGCTTTGCCCAATGGGGCGGAATCTCCTGCAAGAGCTCACTCTTCTGGGCGGTGATGGTCTGAGCCACCAGCAGTCGCCCTGCACTCTGCGCCATCCTCGCCATGCAGTCTGAAATGTAATTTGCCTTCTTTTTGTGGCGGTCACTGACGGCTTCTCACTGCTGCAACGCAGGCGCTTGCAATAAAACTTCGGGACCCCAAAAGCAGATGCCCCCAAGCCATTTGGAGATGCTGAGTGGGACAGAAGGCTCCAACTCTAGTAGGCGTTGCAGACAGCACCGACCAGTGGTTCCTGTTGCGATCCAACAAAACGTGCTGCTGCCACATACTGCTACTTTACTGGTTTGCGCGCGTTCCTCGTCCTGTTGCCTACCTGTGGCCCATCTTACCTGTGGCTCCATAAGTTCAACTCTCCCAGCTTACCGCAAACCCAATCCTCAACGCTCGGTCCGGTGGCCAGGCACTGGCGAACTCAGAGGAAAACATATCCATCAGAAACCTCGGCTATAAATCGTGTAGGTTGAGAGTTGTGGCGGGTTCAGGGTTTCGTGCGGGAGGCTACACAACAAGAGCTGGCACGGCACCCACATACTGCCTGGTCACTCTGGGGATGGCAACCCTAAACCCTAAACCCTAAACCCTAAACCCTAAACCCTAAACCCTAAAGCCAAGGCGCAGCAGGGTGGTCGGAGGGTCCGGGGATCGCTCCGCACCCAGGCCCGGAAGCAAAGTTTCCGGGTCGGCCTCCGGGAAATCCACGGGGCTGGCCCAGGTCACCGGGGTGTCCTGCAACCTTTTTCCTAGGATGGCCCTTCAAAAACCCTCTACAATTAGTGTGTCAGGGTTTAGGGTTTAGGGTTTAGGGCTTGCCCCTAAAACCCTCTGAGAGATACTCCTGAAATTATGATCCTCGTAAACCCAATAAGGGAAAATCTAAAATGTCCCAAGGGCCTACCGAGTTTCGGACCTCGCTGTAGAGCCAGGAGGATGCGAGCCAACCTTCCCCATAGTGGTAGGAGGCCACTCCGTCGCCTGGGTTTTTTCTCGCCCGCTGTAGGGTTTAGGGTTTATAGGGTATAGGGTATAGGGTATAGGGCATAGGGTATAGGGTTTAGGGTTTAGGGTTTAGGGTTTAGGGTTTAGTTTAGGGTTTAGGTCAAAAGGCGCAAGAAGGAGCCGACACCCTAAGCCCTGGTGCTTGCAACCTCATGGCAGGATACAAGACAGGCAAGAAGCATCTGGTGGCTTTGTGAAAAGAGGATCCTCCTACGTGCCGTTTAGAATCGGACCCCCTGGGTATCAAGGCAACACAAGCCGCAAAATACCAGGCACGGAGGAATGTAAGCGTGTCAGGATCTCTGGGTTGGCGGATACTAACAGTCCTTAAGCGGGAGTATAGTACCCCTTCTATCTTAATCCCTATTAAGGACTTTCAGGGGGAACATCCCAAAGCAGCAACATGTTGCAAACGACGGCCCGGTTCGCTCGGGAGTCGACCTTGGCTGCCCAAGCCCGACCGCGTGGCGTGGCACAGTCGCCGGCGGTCTTCGCAGGGTGCCACGCGCGGCGTGTGCCAGCCACGACGCACGGTCCCGTCCTGCTGGGATGATTCAACATCATCGTGCTCTCTGAACTGTAAACTACTGGTACTGTATGTGCTAGATGCTTCCCCCCCTTGTCGGTGGGCTCTCTCGGACAGCAACTAACTACCATACCATGCTCAATGCTGGAGCACGATTCCGGTCCTGATACGAGCATAAAATCTGGGAGTAGACAGGGGCCGCCTCATCCGACAAAGCTTCCCGGGTCTCTTCCCGCACGGCTGCCGACACAGGACGTGCCAGAAATCTGTCTTGATTCAGGAATGTAAGCTTCCCTTCATCACGCTCGAATTCGGCCACGTTTCGTGCAAAGAGTCTGGACATGAACTCTTGCGGCGAGCTCGAAAGCAAGACTACCTCGCAAAGCATCTTGCCCCAGAGGATTGCACAAGGGTTCATGTCAAAGAAGTGTATGTGCCTCGGGTTCACGGCCGTGAGGAGATTCAGCGCAGTCATCGACCCAGCCACGCTCACCAAGCGGTCGATGTTCAAGACACGTGCCCGCACGAGGCTCAAGGTGATGTGGAGCAACTCCCCAGGCGGATCCTTTGCGGCAAAAAAAAGCATAAACTGTCCCCTCGCGACTTGGAAGCCTCTTAACCATTATCGGGCCTACGAAAAAGCGCCACAAACATGCTACACATCGCGGCAGCATTGAAGGCCAAATAGCAGTCGGCCCATCCCTGAAAAGGCCAGGAGACCTCCCTCCAGCCTGCCAGCCCGGGACCAGCAGACTTCGAAGTCTCCGGGCGCCTTCCCCAAACGGGCTGAGTTTGCAAAAGCCGCAAACCCACAGGCCTTTGAAATTTGGGAGCTAACATGGCTTTCTTCGGCGAGGCCGGTGCTTGAGCCAAGCCTGGCAGTCCGATTCCCAGCCCCCACCCCCACCCCCACCCCCGCCACCGGCTAAGACTTCTGCGGGCCACGGCCCACATCCTAAAACCTCAGGCAGAACACAACACCTCTTCTCAACATTCTTAAGTCTTAGGGCCATCGTCAACTGTAGCAACTATAGGCCAAACTCGCCCAAGTTACCCCTCTACCGGATGCGTTTCCGAATTTCGCCTGGCCCTTGCAGGAGTTAGTAGAACTCCTTGAGCTTGGCCCGTGCCTGGAGCTGAGGGCTCTGGGTTTACATGAAGGCGCCACTCTTGCATCTCACAAACAAGCCGATGAACCACAATCTTCATTCTATGCTTTCACTTCTCGCTGGCGTCTGGATCTGTACGGAAAGCGAACAACTCAATAACTACATGTATGCAAACATACACGCTTACTTACATGCATACACACACACACACATTTACACACATACACACATATGCTCAGACGGGTGCACATTCACATTCAGCCTCTCATTCAAGCAATCTCACCAGGCCTCTGCGGCTAAGCCTTTGAGCCGCAGCGCCTGGAGTTGGATGGGGGTCACTCGTCCACAATAAGCAGACAGACAGAGAGGGTTTAGGGTTTTTGGCACTCGCATAGCTGGGCGAACTCCTCACTGACAGGGTTTAGGGTGTAGGTTTCGGGTTTTAGGGCTTATCGGGCAGACAATGACAGAGAGAGAGAGAGAGAGACTCCGCGTGGCGTGTGCATTTCCCAGGTTTACGCAACAGGGGTCCTCCCTTCTGCTGGTGAGAGGAGAGGGTGCCTTGTGAAGGGCTCGAGCTGCCCCAAATTGCAAAAGCTTCGATTGCAGATGAGTTTGCAGGGGGGTTCATCTGAGTCATGGGCCGTTTCTGCTACCTTTGAGCGTACACGTCAGCATGTACATACACACACATATATGTATATATATATATCTATCTATCTATCTCTGTTTATCTACTTGTTTGCTTACTCATTTGTTTCTACGAAGATGGAAACCCAGCAACGGCCCATGATGTAGATCAACCCTCTTTGATGTTGTCTTGGCCTCTGTACAAGGTGGGCATGCCATCAGGGCAAGCCTCGTGTTCCGAGGTCCTTGCACGTTGGTGTGAGGACGCCTGGCAGACCCTGATGCTCAGTCGATCCACCCACCGGTTTCGCAGCGCTTTCGCATCGTCTACATCATACTGGGCGCTGTGGAGGTATCCTCTGCATACGACTAGTTCATGGATGGGATAGCACTAAAAATCGCAATGTTTATGCCTTTTTGAGCTTAAGTACCCTTAAAGATGTAACATGTTACCCCACTAAATTGTCACAAAGACGAAGGCGCAACTAGCAACAGTTCCATCCACTTCTCACGAGACTGGCGCTTCGGGGTCGGAGAACACGAACGCTTCGCATGATTCTCGGTCGCAGGCGGCCGACCAGTCAGTGAGGCATGAGACAAGCACAAGTAATCAGCTCGACCAGGAGAGCTCCGGTACCCAAAGAGCCCAACACCCCTTAATTCAGGAATATACCTTAAATCATATGAAGGATCCCTGTATGAAATAGGTTTCAGGCATATGTGTTAATTACAATAAAGCCAAAAACCCTCTGACAAAAATATCCCTGAATATGATCCTCTTAAACCCAAGAAGGGTAAATACAAACTGTCACAAGGGCCTACCTCGGTATGGCAACCATTCTTATGACCCTGTTGAGGGTACTCATAACCCTACTTATGACTGCCCATGCGGGGGGTTTACGAAAATAAGGGACCCTTAATGTCCCAAAGGCCTACCTAGCTCAGAGACTGGAGGATGGCCTTTCGACCAGAAGCCTTCGAAAGTCGCCGCATGGCCACCGCCCAGCAGGGTTTAGGGCGCTTAGGGTTTTCAGGGTTTGGGGTTTTTGTTTGGGGTTGAGTTTGCTTTTTTAGAGCCCCCTAGGGCTCTCAGGGTTTGTTTAGTTTAATTTTTTTTGGGGGGGAGGGGGGGGGGTGGAAATTAGTTTGTGTTTAGAGCCCCCTCCCACGACCATTGGCGGTTGAACGCATGTCCCCGCATGTTCCTTGGCCACGAGCTCCAAACATCAAGCCCTTGCTTCCCTAACCCCTAAACCCTAGACCCGAAACCCTAAATCCTAAACCCCTAGACCCCTAAACCTTGAACCCTGAACCCCTAGATCTTAAACCCCTGAACCCAAACCCTTAACCCCAAACCCTAAACCCCGAACCCCGAACCCGAAACTCAAGTGGTCTGAAGGGGGCCCTGCCGGTGCGGGCAAAGAACTGTAGGGCGACTGCCAAAGGTCCCTCTGTCCAACAGCATTGCGCTGAACAGGGGTGCTGCGTATGCCCAGCGATGACGCTTTGGCGGTTCAGCTTAACATTTCTAGTATTATCAAACATTAGCATTCATACTTCTTAATATTAAGTATGTCTCGTAATAATAATCTTATTTGATATTGACATGTTTAGTATAATGTGATATTGATATCATGCATACAAATATGATTCATCCTTAGTCAGATTTTCAACATCTGCTTTTGGCGCTTGAAAGGCTACTCAGTCTTGGCCGGCCCTCATCAAGACTTGCCGCACAGAGCCTGCCACGCATTTGATCTATGCCACGGTCCCACCGGAGGAGTCGGCTGCAGGGCGCTACAACGTCTTGTGCTTCTGGCATACGAAGACTATCACAATAAGTGTTCAAGAAACGAATATAACTCGAACTACCAGAAGACTATTATGATAATTACTGCCCATTCTCGGGGGAAGACTCGTGGGTACTGCACCATGCCGCAGGTCTCCCCGACATCTTCTTCGTGCTGCGAAGATTTGTGTAACATTTACTCGCTCAATTCTAGCATCAATATAGGCATCCTGTACCATACCCAAACTAGGGGGCCCTTCTGATGACAAAAAACAACAGCCCTGGCCTCCTTGCTCACACCACTTCTGCACGAAGGAGGCCGCCACCTCTAAAGCGTTCGGATCTAGACCGCGCAGACGTCGCAAGAAAGGCTCTGCTGCTGCCTTCAAGCATCTAGAGTGTAGGGTTTTAGGGTTTAGGGATTCTGTGGCTGAGGTTGGATGGCGGCCCCCTACTTTTTTGGGATCCTGCGTCCCTTCTCCTGCAGCCACAAATCCACAGGACCCAGCAGTCAGTGCTAAGAGATCGTCCAGTGACCTTACACCCCTAAATCCTACACCCTTCAGATGCTTGGTCTGTGAGTCCCAGGCACGCAGGCAGCCAGGATTACGACCACCATGGAGCAAGCCACCAACGGCTGAATCTCCTTTGAAGTCGCGGCTTGGGATGAGATATGGGGGTTTCCGAAATTAGGGGTACCTTCTTGGTCCATATTATAAGGGAGTCCTACTATTCGGGGGTCTATCTTAGGGGTCCCCTAGCTTCGTAAACCCCACATTCAGCTTTTGGGCTTAGGGTCGCAGATGCCTGCCCCACTCGGCAAGATCTTGCGGCAGGATTCGTGCAAACTTGAGTACTGTCTTCAAGTGCCTTCCAAGAGCGGCTCGTCTCGATTCGAGTATGCTCGTGTGCAGACCAGGCGCGTAAGCCCACGCAAAGAGAATCTGCAGGCCGAAGAAGCACAGAACCACGCCGATTCCGTAGTGCAGAAGTGGGAAGCAATACAGCATGTCCTAGGTGCGTCAGAGGGTTGTTTCTTCTCATGCTGAGAACACCATGTCACAAGAGGTGCCCACCATTTTTGCACCACATCAAACGTCGCTCTGCCATAAAGAAGGCGCCAAATGAGAGAATGAGCAACCCTCCCCCCCGCTCCCCCCCCCCCCTCCCTCCCAGCAAACTACTCCCCAAAGAGCCCAATATTGCTTAATTAAGGAATATGCCTTAAATCATAGTAAGGATCCCTATATGATTTCAGAATATTCCTTAATTAAGCAATATTGGGCTCTTTGGGTCGCGCATTCTCAGCCAGCAAAGCGGCCTGGCTCAAGGCAAAGAGCTCCGGGATGAGAAATGCTGCCATGGCAGAAGAGCTGAAGGCCAAGTAGGTGTTCGGGATCTCTTCCTCGAGCTTCCGGATTTTCAGAGGTCGAGCAGTGGGTCCATAGCCATCTTCCGTAGAAGAAGTTTCGAGCGTTGGACACATGCGTTCAGTAGAAAACCGGTTGTAAAAGGACTGCGGGATACACCCTGTCAGGGCTTTCCGAAAACCTGTCCAAGATTGCCCAAGTCTGATCCTCAGGGGTCTAACCAAGCAAAGCCTCGATTTTTGTCAGCACAACATCAATATCCAAGACGAAGTCGGCCAGAAGTAGGGTCGCGGTTGCAACGTCCAGCACAGATACTTTGAGATGCTCATAGGCCTTGACCACGAAGTATCCTTCCAGGTGGCAGCTTGCAAAAACCCAATTGGCCTTCTGTTCCTGGTTGGAAGCGACGGGGGCCTAAAGAGGGGACTGCCAGCATGCAAGTCCTGTTTCGTCCTGCGTGTCCACGGCAACGCGGTTTCCGGTGACGTTCCTGCAAAGGCTTGTCAAGACTCGCCTTCCCTCTCTGCACCCATTTTAAGAACCGCGTCTGCCCCCTGCCCCTGACCGGCACAAGTATGTGCAGACTTCACCTAACAAGTCGCTAAGGCTGAGGTGCATGGGATGGGTGGCCAACTACCCAGACCTGGCCGAGCATGCTTTAATGACTCACTGAGGAGTCTGTGGCTTTGGGTTGAACTTCTCGTCCGCATGAGATCTGGTCCCCCCTCGACTGGGAAAACCTCGCATGAGTTGGATACTTGGGGTTTCCGAAAATATTGGTATCCTTTTGGGGTCGCTTTAAGGATTCTATTCTATTTGGGGTGTAATTTGAGAAATATATTTTGGGAAACCAACATCCACTTGAACATTTGGCTCGGCAGCGCCGCGTCCACTTCCGCAATAGCTGGTCCGTGCTGGGCGTCCGTGTTACAGCTGCACAGTTCGTTGCCAAAAAACTTGTTGTTGCAACCCCTGTGCTCTTTGCCCACAATGTGCGAAAACTATTTGCCCAGAGATGTTGATTTGTTGGAGTAAGAACGCGGGCAAAGAGGCACGAATTCCTCCGGATTCCACCACGACAGATTCACCATTCTGCCGCCCAAAAAACCGCGCGCCACCCGTGAATCCGATTCCTTACTCGGCTGTGTTGGTAAAGCCATGCAGCCCAATTGCTTTGCGTCGTCGGGCCTTCCCTGCTGGTGAGCCCCAGCTTGCACGTGCTTGTTGGGGGGGGGGGGGGTTCACAAGGCCTTTCTCTCAACAAGTAGACAAAGAAGCACATGAAGAGAACATAAGATTGCCGTTCACTCCCAGCGTCTCAATGGCCAATTAATTGGCCCACTCAACTCTCAACACTTCGATCAAAGGCCTCACCATGTCAGCAGCAGGGCTGCCAGACCTCTCCGACGCGCAAGGGCCTCAGAGGTCGCGTGTGAGAGGCTCGGGATCTACCGTCCGGCTGCGAGTTGCGACTGCTCTCACTGACTAATCCAAAACTAGGGGAACAAGGTGGGGACACTCCTCTGCCCCAAAGTGGCATCCTGAGTGCACGGCTATCCGCAGGAGACACGCTGGCCTCGAGTCCAGGCTCCTCATGCGAGTGGCTCCTTGCAACGTCGCATGGAGGTAGAGTACCACTTCGGCCCAGGCGAGTCCGCTTCCCACCCTAAAACAGAAAAAATACCCGGGCAATCTGCCATCGGTTTCAGCCACAAGTCCACAACATGAGCAGATGCCCACCTCAACTATCCGGGTCTCACCCTAAACCCTAAACCCTAAACCCTAAACCCTAAACCCTAAACCCTAAACGGCCCTTAAAGGTTCCGAGGCGCAGCACATAGAGGCCGAGGCAAAGAAGCCATGAGCCCAGGAGGTACGGCAGCAGTATCCTGGCCGAAAGGAGGGGTCAATGGCCCGGTCTAGGGTTTAGGGTTTAGGGTCGAGGGCTACTGCCTTTCGGTAACATGGGGGTTTACGTCCTTATTGTAAAGGAATCCTACTATTTGGGGGGTCTATAGTAGAGGTCCCCTATTCTCGTACACCCCCACATTGGCAGCGCTAATGGGAGGTTCATGGGTCGTTGTAAGTGGGGATCTGAGTACCCTAAATAGGGCAGAGATACCATACTCGTAACCCTACTTATAACGACCCATGAACCTCCAAGTAGCCCTAAACCCTAAACCCTAAACCCATGAACCTCCAAGTACGCATCAGGTTCTGTTGCTCCAAGTGTCCAGGATCTCAGCCACGCGGCCAGCCCCATGAAGAAGACCTGCGGGTGGGTCGACGCGAGCCGACCCACGCATGCGAGAGCTGGGTTTAGGGTTTAGGGTTTATAGGGTTTAGGGTTTAGGGTTTAGGGTTAGGGTTTAGGGTTTATGGCTTAGGAATTGCAGCAACGTCCCGACATTCGACGAAACGAGCATGTAAATGCGTACTCTGGATCTGATTAGCTTTGAGTCCAGGGGCAGCGTCAAACATGACCTGGCCCCAAGCCACGACCACCAGGCAGCCAGATACCTTGCAAACATGGGGTCGGGAAGCAGCGTCAACTTAACCAGTGGACCAACATGCCTGGCACTGAATTGGGACATCCGTTTTCCAATGCTTCCGCAAAAAAGGGCTTGGTTGTCTGCGCTTTGAAGGCGGGACGCCGCCGCCCGGGAAAGCTGGAAAGCTTCGGCGATGGCGTGGAAGACAAACACATTCCTCAGGGAACTTCTGTGAGTTCACGGAGCTGTTTCTCGAGTCATGCCGGAACACCGGATCACTGGAAAGGGGCCTTTACACTGTTTAATATGTTGTGAGGTCCTGGGGCTCGCACCGCGCATAGAAACCAACAAGGTTCTCCCACCCCAAACTCCCTAAACCCTCTTGCCCAAAGAGCCCAATACCCCTTAATTAAGGAGTATACCTTACCTCATTCCTTACTAAAGGGGTGTTGGGCTCTCTGGGTGTTTTACAGAAGTTGCTGACAGCTGAGCTGCTCCGTCAGGAAGATCAACTCCAGTAGGTAGCCCGCCAGCCAGTTTGATCCATGGTGAGGGCCACGCAATGCCTTAGCATCTCATGGTAGGGTTTTAGAGTGTTTAAGGTTCAGGAAATCTCGATTTTGCTGCGCACCCTTGTAGCTGGATGCAACCGATGAAAACCGACGGACAATCAGCAGTCAGACTCTCAATCCTTGAGCAGATCCAACATTTTGAAGGCTCTTCGACCACAGAGCCAGTGCGGTGAGCAGAACCTTGTGATCCCGGAACTGAGGCCCACGCCGGAAGCAGACCCTAAAGCCGAAACCCTTTTCTAGCCCAGACCCTCTGCAACTGGACTGCGGACAAAGACAGGAGAAGGTACTACCCCACGTACAGGGTTTTTTAGCCCAGAGCCTAAACTCTAAACCCTAAACCCTAAACCCTAAACCCTCCTTCAGAAGCTGCTCTTGGGTGCTTCAAAGCTGCGAAGATTGCCACCGCGTACGCGGCGCCGAGGGAAATCCACCCTGGAAGCAGATCGCAAGCATGAAGGTGAGACTATTCGAGGTGTCTCAGGTGCGGGTTTAGGGTTTAGGGTTAGGGTTTAGGGTTCAGTTTGGTTTCCCCTCTCCTCACCAACCCAAGACCAACCAGCACAGCGATAGGGAGCGAAAGAGGGGCCGACGCGGGCAGGGAACGCGCCCGCTCCACCATGCAGGCCCTTTTCTATGGGAAGAACAACACTACACCCAGCACTAAGCCTACAGAGAATCAGAGGGGCTTCAGAGGGATCGTAGACTCATGCCGCCGTCTCCACAACGGGAGACGTTTACCCACAACAGCTACAAAACACAGCCACCCACCAATCAACCGTGAAACCGAGAGACGGGCTTTAAACCCTAAACCCTAAACCCTAAACCCTAAGCCCTAAGCCCTAAACCCTAAAAGGGTTTAGGGTTTACAGACTAAAAGTCGCACGGCAGGTCACAAAAAAACACGTTCTTACAGGGGAATGAATTCTAACCCTTCAGACCAACCACTACACTCACTACTTGAAGGTTCAGGGGGCAATATGGTGTACTTATAGGCAGGGTCATAAGCATGGGAAAGCTATACTGATAACCCTACTTATAACTGCCCATGAACCTCCAAGCACCCCGGAAATCCAGCTGCTGCCCTGGTGCCCGCCAGGGCCACCACCAGCCCCCGGCCGGCAGCAGCCTGGCGCCAGGCTGCTGCAGCGAGCGCCATGGACAAGAAGAGACACCAGTCCAGTAGCAGAGCCTTTGAGCGGCTCTGAGGGAACTTGAGGGTTTAGGGTGTGGAGGCTCAGGGGTTAAGGGTCAGGGTTTAGGATTTAGGGTTTGGGGTTTAGGGGATAGGGTGTAGCTTTTGGCTTTCTATTCTTGGGCAAAAGCGGGTGTAGGGGGGGTCGACTTGAGGCCTGGGAGGCTGGGGAGTCGAGGCTCGAAACCTCTAAGCAAGGTTGAAGTTGTGAAGTCTGCGTAGATGGCTGCGGCGTGTTTGGGGTGGGCCTCAGGGGCTAATGGAGTTCAAGCTGCCGAGAGGAAAGGGGGTTTGGGATGTTGCGTCCCCAGCAGGACCTAGCTGCACACGGGACGGCTTTGGCACTAGGGCCCCTCGGTACCTTGCCTGCATCAGAAAAAATAAGATGTGGCCGCAGAGGGTTTGCTCAAACATTATGCTCCCACTTTGGTACCCCAGAATTTCCGCTAGCAACAGAGCCCCGAAAAGGGCCCACACATTGGGCCAACCTCCCACATCACAGATGCGTGCGTGCAATGTGTGGTGCAATGGGACTCAGAGTCTCCCCCAGCAGGCACCGGAGTTTTCAACCCCACAGCAAACGTCGGCGCGGGAGCACCACCAAAGACTCATGTTTAAAGCTCCACAGTACTTTGCACTTCGACAACGAACCCAGGCTACCAAGAACTGGTTTGCTTTACACTTCGACCATCAGGCCTACCAGCCCTAAACCCTAAACCCTAAACCCTAAACCCTAAACCCTGACACACTAACAGAACCAAGGGGCCGAGTTGAAGAACTGGTGGATGCCAGTCGGCCCCACCTCCGCCAAGGAGGCCTCGGCTGGCCCAGCCTTTGCGCGCGTGTGCCGCGCGTCTGTGTTGTACCGTCTTGGGTGTTGGAGAACCCTTTTCTATAGATCCTTAAGGGCAGTTTAAGGGACATATGAGGAGTATGTTGAGGGAGAACTTTTAGGGGTACAACCTTTAGGGCTACGAGTCTTAAACCCTTGATTCAAGGAGTGTTGGCGACTGCATGCTATGGTGTATGCCAGGAGGCATGTCGCGCCCAGGACCCGAAACGAGAGAGCATCGCGCGCGTGCCGTTGATGACAACACCTGCACTGGCATGCAGCGCAGAGAAAGGCCCCAGTCTCGCTCAACTTTTCTGCAAACAAACCCACGAATCCTGCCCCCAATTTAGACCCCCAAATAGAAGGATTCCCTCATAAACAAAGGGACCTCAATAAGGTACCCTTAAATTCGGAAACCCCCCTCATGAACTCTCAAAAACTCGAGGGAGGGGTTTGCGCAGTCTTGGCCGCGGCGGGGAGGATAAAGGACTGGAGCACATTCACGATGATGACTCTAAATTATAAACGCGCTGACATATCCTGGCGAGTAAGCCTAAACCCTAAACCCTAAACCCTAAACCCCAAACCCTAAACCCCAAACCCTAAACCCTAAACCCTAAACCCTGCATCCCCCCCCAGTCGTGACTCGTAACTGACTCGAGGTTTAGGGTTTAGGGTTTAGGGTTCAGGGTTCAGGGTTTAGGGTTTAGGGTTTAGGGCGTTTGGCGTTTGGGGTTTAGGGTTTAGGGTTTGGGGTTTAGGGTTTAGGGTTTAGGGCGTTTGGGGTTTGGGGTATAGGGTTTAGGGTTTAGGGTTTAGGGTTTAGGGCGTTTGGGGTTGCCCTTTTGCCTACGGAATTCTGGCCCGACATCGCTGTAGGCGGCGCGCCGTCTGGCAACAACTGCCAGCTCTGCCTGGCCAGAAGAGGCACATGGTGCTGACCCTTCAACTCCTCAGAGTTTGCAAAACCACATACAGGACTCCCATTCCCTTGTTGGTTTATGGGTTTAGGGTTTAGGGTTTAGGGTGTAGGGTGTAGGGTGTAGGGTGTAGGGTGTAGGGTGTAGGGTTTAGGGTTTAGGGTTTAGGGTTCCGTCTTAGGTCTTGCAAGCCCGGATCCTGGTTGCATTCGCCGCCAAACTCCCGTTGGCTGGAAGCAGGCTGACATGCGCACCAGGTTTCTGCAGAAGTAGTGGCGCCTCAGAAGGCTTCTGAACAGTCTGCATCTGCACATGTGCTCGTACCACTGGAAGCTAAGTTTGGTGGCCTTACACCGCGCAGGCTCCGAGGCCCAGAAAGCTTCCCAAACGCCAGCCCGATTCTCCAAGCAAGCATCACAAGTTACCTGACATTTGTCCGTAAAGGCACTGAATTCAAGAGGTTGCCAGCCATACGCCGGTCCTTCACCGCATTGGGCGTGTGGCAAGCTGTGTCGGAAGACTCGTTCACTGCCGCCAAGCCTGCCTGCCATCATTCTTCTGGGGTTTCCAGGCGTTCTTTGATGTTCTTTGCGGAGCAAGTCACAGAAGCAAATGATGTACTCCAACGTGCAGTTGGAGGGGGCTTGGCGGTTAATGCTTCGGTTGAAGCTGGAGAGTTGTTTCTAATGACTTCGTTCTGCCTTCTACGTACAGATGTATAGCGCGAGAATAACAGCGAAAACAACAACAAATGTACTGGTAATAGCTATATGATGATAACTATACACTATAGAGAGAGATAGTAGACACATAGAAAACTATAGTGCAAGATCAAATGACCTCTGACTAATATGACATGATGTGACGTAACAACATTGTAGCACAATGTACTACAGTACCACAAACGTAGTGCAAACGTCACATCGACCACATACCTGTATTGGATTGGTGCATGCAGTCAAGCCAAGGCATCCTTCTTGTGCAAAACAAGCGGCACGAAACAAACAGACACACACACACACACACACAGAGAGTCTCTCTCCCCAAAGAGCCCAATATTGCTTAATTAAGGAATATTCCTTAAATCATATAGGGATCCTTAATATGACTTAAGGTATATTCCTTAGTTAAGCAATATTGGGCTCTTTGGGTCTCTCTCACACACACACACACACCCACTCACTCACCCACGCGCAGACAACCCGGAAAACTCCCTAAGTTCATGCCACTGGCCACCAAACCCGAACCCCAAACCCAAAGAGCCCAATATTCCTTAAATAAGGAAGATACCTTAAGTCTAACATGAAGGATCCCTAGAATGATTTAAGGGACATTCCTGAATTAAGGAGCATTGGGCTCTCTGGGGGACAAATCTTCGCAAGAAGTGCCCTCGACGGCCAGCACAAGAGAGCCAGCAGGGTCAGGTCCAGGAGGAGCCACGGGGCCATGCCTCCTTGAGGTGGCCAATTTAGGGTTTAGGGTCTAGGGTTTAGGGTTTAGAGTGTAGGGTGTAGGGTGTAGGGCTACTTGGAGGTTCATGGGTAGTTATAACTGGGGTTACAAGCATGGTAACTATACCTCTATACTGATAATGATAACCCTACATACAATTACCCACGAACCTCTGAGTATGGGGTGTGGGGTTTGCATTGGCATCGGATTGATGGGCTGGGGGTTTGGAGGCAGCTTGCCATGAACAATTCTTGGAGGCGAGGCGCGGTCCTACACACGCGCCACCATTCCCCCCGCAGCCGGCGCCACGGCGCACTTCAGTGAGAGGTGCGGGGGTCCCTAATTTTGAGCCTCGGCTCCGAACATCAACAGCAAGCAGGGCCCACATGAGCCGCAAATATAGGGGCCTTAATAATTAGAATATGGTTTTAGGGGGATATAATAGTAGAACTACAAATAAATGAAGGAGTACTATTAGCAATTATTCGACTCCTGTAGTAGGTGAATGTGCCAGAGGAGCGATGTTAAGCCACCTTTGGCCTCAAGACAGAACGCTGGTTCGGACGCCTTGTTAGGCTATCGTGGGAGCTGTCCCATCTGTCGACAACTGGCCTGGGCCCGAATCTCTAATACTAGTAACCTCGGATACTGAGCCTGACATGTTGCTGTTTGTTTGGGGCCGGAACCCCCGCGCACCAGGCGCGCTCATATTCGCAGTTCGTTGTGACACCCTTTTCACGCTTCTTCTCTCTCTCTCTCTCTCGCTTTGCTTTGCCTTGCTCATGCTCAACAGCTCAACAGATTAAGACAGAAAAAACCGTTTGAGGCTTCACAAAGTCACTAGGTAAGTACGGGTCTTTGCCATTGCTCATCGTAATCCGAAGGCTCGTCTTTTCAGCTTGTGCTCCGGGGATTGAGCAGAACCTTTGGCGTCGAAAGAGGAAAGCGGCATAACCTAGTCAAACTCCAACTGTCCCATCACAACACTTCTATCAAGGAATCAAAGCTCCACAGGCCCGCTAACAGGAATCACCGTGAAGCTTCTTTGACCCGCCCCATGAACCCTACTTAGGTCCTGCAAAGTCGTCCTGACCCTTCTGATTCTACTTGCCTCTGCGTAGTCCTCCATCTCCGCAGCAGCCCCTTGCCATGTCTGACGATGTCTGACGACATGCCCCCGGCTTTTCAATCGAATGCTTGGTGACTTTGAGACATGTTAGGCCGCACTTTGTCAGGGCTCGTTGAGAAAAGTTCACATGGATTTAGGACGATTAGGCTATTCGGGACGGTTAGGTCGGTTAGGTTTGCAAGGCAGTTTTTGCACCATAGACCTGCAGTCGCTGTGCACGAAAGCTTGACCTTGGGGTGAGGCATTGCTACATCATGAAGTTTCCGTGTTTAGCCCCCAGCCTCGCAAATCGAGCGAGCTCAACTGAAAGGATTTGAAATGGAATAGGTTGGGGCGGCTTTTGCCGCCCTAGACAGCGTGGGGCGGCCGGGGCGGCCTTTAACTTCGCATGTTGCGAACACTTGCCAGCCTTCACAGCTGGAATCTCTGCCACATTGTTGCAAGCCCTATCACAAACCCTAAACCAGGGCGGACGAGAGCTTGACACCCGAAACCCGAAGCCCTAGAAGCCCTGAACCCAACACCCGCCAGTCCCTACCAGGGCCCCGACGCTTTCGTGCCTCGAGGTCCAGCACCTCCTCTAGAAGGTGGCGCCTCAAACTTCAAGGCTACTGGCTTTGATTTGGGGCTTGGAAGGGGGGGGGGGGGGGGCGCAGGTTGAAGGGCGTTGTGCTCAGAGATGTGAAAAGGGCTGTAAGGAAATCCGTAGGGATGCGAAAGTGCTTGCATTCAGAGCTTGAGCTCGTGGTCAGACTTAGGATAGGGTGGTAGGTATCTCAGGAGATCCTAGGAGCTCGGAGGTTTCGGATGCTGCTGAGGGGGCCGGGGATGTTTTTGAGATGTTTTGCCACCCCAGGTTCAGGGCATAATGCTTGCATCGGGCATTGCTATTTCATGTGGCGGTGGCATGTTGAGAGCCTGCTGATCCGGAAACTGACTAGCTCAAGCCACATCGTAAGCTGCCCTGAATTGGCTAAAGCCTGAGCGCAAACCTTCAATAGCTAACCCGCGCTTGGCTAAGTAGCTTTGTGCCACACGAGACATTGTTCTAATGTGCCGTAAATCGAATGCTGTAAAACGCGTTTTCTGCCTTGCGAGAAACCGTGTCCGCTACTGCACGTTCAACACCTGCAATACTTTGTAAGTTTCCACAACCTCTGTTCCTTTCACAGCCTCTGCTTGCGTAGTCCTTTCAGTACCACGGCAAAATATCGCCGTAGACCTAGTTCCAGTGAAGGTAGGTACATTCCCGGTTTCTCGTCAGGGTCGAGGGTTTGAATTTTGAATTTACAAAGGGCTGCCAGGTTTAAGTTTAGGACAACTAACAGTTCATGCAGTGCTTCATGAGGCCGCCGCTTGCGCAGCCAATTCACGTAGGTTGGCATGCCTTCCTGCAAGAGGGCTCATGGCTGCCGAGCCACTTCCTCCCCGACATACCGTCGCCTGCCCTCAGGCCCATGAAGCCTTTTTTACGACACATGCAGGGCCTCTTCTAGCACGGATGAACTGGCAACCTCCAAGAAGCATTGGCCTTGCGGCTGCTACAGCGCTGTAGGAAAAGAAAAGCATGCCTTACAGCGCAGCATTCTGCGAGCTTGGCGGCGTCGCGCGGAGGTCTACGTATCTCGCGTCCGGCTGACTACTGTAGCAAGTGCTCTCCTTGCGGTGAGGATGCGCAAGCTCAGGCGCCATTCGAGACATTCAAGCACGCCGACCACTGGGCTGACAACATTTGATGCCTCTCAGAGTCTATGTGCTTCTTGAATCGGCTAAGAAGGCAAGCGACGTCCTCTGACCCAGAACCCTGAACTTTAGGACTTTTGCATGCCAAAGCACGTGCCGAAATTTGGCCTCGGGGGTGCATTCTCGTAAAGCGTCGCTCAACTTGCCCTAGGCCTTCATGGGTGTTGTTTATCGCAGCAGTCAATGGAAGCACACTTGCCCTCAAGCAGAAGCTGTTTATGCGCATCATAGAAACTGAATCCCCCTGGAATTGGCGTGCGGCCACAACACACAGCGAATCTGAAAGAGTCTGCACACACAAGCGTTCCAGCCATCTTGAACGATGCATCTTGCGAGCGGACTGCCAACTGGAACGCGCACACGCACGAGGCAAGTATTGGTCCCACGGCGTAAACAAAGAAAAGGCCCTAAACGCTAAACCCTAAACCCTAAACCCTAAACCGGCAAAGCCTAGCGGAGACAAAAAGCCACAGCGCGAGCGGAGCCGTGTAGGGCATTGCTGTTTAAGTCAGCGCACGAATCCCTTATATCCCCCCAATCCAACCCTTCAACACCCCTCTACCCTGCCTGTTACACTTGACAGACTCTGACCAGACTAGACTGAGTGCCACAGCCTTCGAGAAAACATGGTCACAAGTTCCTGCAAAAGCCCCCGAAATCGAAGGCGGCAGCTCTCGACGAGTCAACGCGGCCAGGCAGCATACTGACGAGCTGCAAAGAGCCGCCAATGTACCTTGTTGCGGCAGTTCGCAGACCCAGGCCCATGACTGCAAGGTCATCCTTACCAGAAATTACTCCTGAAAGCCCATAACAAAACCCACATCGTCTGTGTTCTCTGGACCAGATTCGTGCTTTCTGCCGGCTGCCATGTGCTACTATTCAGAATCATTCTAAACCCTAAACCCTTTTTTGCATCCGGACTTCCGTGCCCTAAACCCTAAACCCTAAACCCTAAACCCTAATCATTCAGAGCCTCACCTGCTCGGGATTGGAGGTTTCGGTCCTGGGTTTGGACTAGCACACCTTGAAAGCTGACTAGGCTTTAGGGTTTAGGGTTTAGGGTTTAGGGTTTAGGGTTTAGGGTTTAGGGTTTAGGGTTTAGGGTTTAGGGTTTAGGGTTTAGGGGTTAGGGTTTAGGGTTTAGGGTTTAGGGTTTAGGGTTTAGGGTTTAGGGTTTAGGGTTTAGGGTTTAGTGTGTAGGGTTTAGGGTTTAGGGTTTGGGGTTTAGGGTTTAGGGTTTAGGGTTTAGGGTTTAGGGTTTAGGGTTTAGGGTTTAGGGTTTAGGGTTTAGGGTTTAGGGTTTAGGGTTTAGGGTTTAGGGTTTAGGGTTTAGGGTTTCGGTGAGGGTTGCTGTTTGGCCACCACCTTGGCTTGCACGCAGGCCCTCCCCCCAACCCATGAACCAAGCCTTGCTCTCAACCCTAAGGGTTTAGGGTTTAGGGTTTAGGGTTTAGGGTTTAGGGTTGCAAAAACCTCGGCGCTCTACACCTCAAGACCCTCCCTGCGCACTCGGCGTACAGCCGTGACAGCGGCAAGCCGACACCGAAGCCCGCCAAGGGAGTGGCCTTCAAGCAAGAATCATGAAAGTGAGTGAGGGGAGGGTCGGTTGAGGTTCTTCAAATGTTCGTGAACCCTTCTTGACAAACCCGCCTCAAACATAAACCTTTCTTATGACAGCTGATTGAGTTGCTTCTTGAAACCCTACACTCTTTTGCAACGACCCCTAAACTCTAAACCCTAAACCCTAAACCCTAGAGAAAATTCAGTTCAGCGGGGCATCCCCCCAGCTTCCGGCACCTCGCCCTCGTTTTCCTCAAGCCCAGGCGGCAAGGTCCTGAAAGAACAGACGGGGTTTAGGGTGTAGGGTTTAGGGTTTAGGGTTTAGGGTTAGGGGTTATTTAGGGTCTTATTTTTGCCACCCGCCTTAGGGTTTAGGGTTTGGGACCTTAGGAGTTATGTCGGGGTTATTTAGAGGCTACTTAGGATATATATAAGCACTACATACGGTATGTGTAGGGGTCATATGGGATCCCTTCAAGGGGTCCCTCGGGTGTTGTTCGCATACGGGATGCCACAAATGACTCCATGCACGTCGCAACGTCGTCTTGGTCGGGCGCACACCATTTTTCTCGCAATCCGCCCAGCAGACTCAGACCGCACTGCCAGGCAACACATCGCGCTTAGTGCGCAGAGCAGTCGAGCGCGCTTCGTTTGGCACCTTTGTGAAACAAGAGACTCTTTCGAGAAAGCTCCCCACACAGAGGGTTGAGCCCCATGTTCGGATGTTATGTTGATGCTGCATCATCTTACTTTTTGAGTGGATTATGGCAGTATGTTAATTATACCAAAATTATAGCTTTTTCATTATGATAATGTTCTGCTACTTCGATCATATTCTACCAATCTGTGTCTTGCCATCCTCATATCAAGCCGGCCGTTAGTGGCACCAGGGGGGCAAACTTCAGCCCCCCTCGATGCTCAGACGAGTTGGCGTCTCTGAATTTAAAAAAAAATCTGATAAAACCTAACTCCGGGCCAAGCCCCTCAACCCAGAGCTGAACTTTGGGCTCAAAGTGCTCAGACGTGAACGGGGCCTTTCTGGAGAAGGTCGGCCCCGGGCACGTTCAGCTTTCCATTCCTCATGGCCTCCAGCAGCAAGCCCGACAAAAACGTGGCGATGAACATAAAGAAGCCAGTGATGGCCGAGACGAGGAGGTTGAAGAACCGATCCTGGCGGTTGCCCATGCGCTCGATGCCGGCCAGTTCTCTTGCGACGGACCGCATCCAAATGTCCACATTGTTCCTACACCCCCCTTAGAACCTGAAAAAAATCATGTTTTGTGACATCCTCCTGGGTTTTATATAAACAAAAATACAAAAGAATTCCCAGGGGGGGATATAGGTTCTTGACGTACTTCACTGCATCTTTGACATGGTGGAGCACGAAGTCTGGCGGGTTGTCCGGAGCGCGGACACCTTGGAACAGCACGCCGGCAGCCACGTGCTCGCGGAAGCCCTCATCTCGCCAGATCTGCTTGTAGATCTGGCGAGATCTCTCCCCACGGAGGGACGTGTGGAGCGCGCGCAGGATTGAGAAGCTGTCGATGATGTCATCCCAATTCGTCTTGTTCACATTGCCTTGCAACTTCTCCATAAGGTCCATGATCCTTTCCAGCTCCTGTCTGTCCCGTGCCATGTCCTGTCTTGTGACGCGTAGGAAAGCCAGCAACTCGCTTGATGTATAGCCTGTGACCTTTTTCAAAGGTCCCTCCAAGAGCTTCGCAGCCAAGGGGCCTGCAGTGCTGACACCCTGGGAGGACAACTCCTGCAAGCCTTGTTCGAACATCGTGATGGCCTCTGCTGTCTTTTTGCCTCCGGTGGTCTTGCTGAGCATGGCCAGGCTTTCCGTCAGAACCGGGGGCAAGCGCTGGTTCTGCTCCTTGAGGAGGCTTCGGAAGTTCTTCTTGTCCAAGATCTGCTTCAGCGCTGCAGCTCGCGGCTGCAAGCTCTTGTTTGCCAATGTCTCGAGCTTCTTCGACATCTCCTCAAGGCGTTTGATGGCATTGTCTGCTTGCGCTGCCAAGTGCTCTGCGGCCTTCTCGGCAGCCATCCCGGTCAGTTCCATCGCGGACTGCTGGACACCGTCCGCCACGCCCTGCGTGGCATCTTCCACCGCGCTTGTGCAGGATTGGCAGGGTAGCAGCGGTGCCCAGAACCCTGGCTGCTCCTCTCCGTCTGCCCTCATCAAGTCTCTTGGACCGCCTTCGGCCGCGTCCTCGTTGTCCTTATCCTTGTCCTCATCCTCCTCGTCGGAACTGTCGACGGCGGCTTCTTTGTCAGAGTCGTCTCCATCTTCGCCCCATAGGCTTTTCACCAACTCATGCCCTAGACGCATGAAAAAGCCTTTGGATGATGGCTTGCTCTGTTTCACGAAGGCTTTCTTCTCTAGTGCCGCCACTTTGCACTCACTCTCTATTCGGGGCTTGTCATCGCTTTCCCAATAGACATCATGGAAGTTGGTACCTGCGAGTAGACAGTAGTCAAAATGCGCACCTGTGAGTGTGGCCCCTTCGAACATTACACCTGTAAGGTTCGTGGCGAAAAGATTCGCACCCGACAGATCGGCATCTTCCATCGTTGCACCAGAAAGGTCGGAATCATCCAGCAGGGCACCCGTCATCGTGGCCTCTGTGAAGGAAGTGCGCTTCAGGCTGGCATTCATGAGAGCTGCACCACTCAGGTCGGCGCCTTCCATGTCTGCGCACGGCAGCTTGGCGTTGTTCATGTTCGCACAGAGAAGCTTGGCTGAAGCCAACCGGGCCCCCGTCAAGTTCGCCTTCCACAAAGTGGAACCTGAAAGATCCGCCTCGCACAAGGTTGCACCAGAAAGATCTGCAAAACTCAGATCTGCACCCTGTAGCCTTGGTAGCCCAGCAACCCCATATTGCAATAAGGGTACCCGCTATTTTTTTGGGGGGCTAGTCACTAAAAAAAGGGGGAAAAAAGGCTACCACCGGGCTACCCAAGTAGCTTTGCCCCTGCCAAGTTCATTCCCTGCAGCTGCGCCCCGCTCAGGTCGGCAAACCGAAGGTCTGCGTTCTCGAGGCTGCCTGGGCCATTCTCTGTGGCTCCCGTGGACAGCAGCTCCGCGACCTTGTCTGCAATCTTATTCCATGGCCTGTCCTCCTCAGCGATGTCTCTTATCCAGCCGATGGATTCCTGCCTGACCATGCCAGGGAAATCCTTCTCCCTGATGCTGGTGAGCCTGGTGAGCCTTTCCTGAAGCTGCTCCTGAATCTCCTGCGGGATGCTGTCGCCTTCAAATTTCGTAGTCACGGACAAGCCCTTCCTTACTTCTCCAGAATAACCAAGAGGAAAAAAGGTGAAGCTTCATTATTCCTACTAGACAAGGAAGCCCATTGAAAGTTTAAAGTTCAACTATTGGCAAAGTAAGCTTCTCATCACAGAAGCTGATGTGAAACCGTTCGATGATGTGCATCTTCCTGTCGACGTCGGGCACGCCAAGGTCTGACCAGGACTCCGGGGCCTTGACTCCGTACTTGATCGTCCGCCTCTTGATGCTCACCTGCGAGTTTACGAAATTCGGGGGTACCTTCTTGGGGTTTGTATAAGGGGATCCTACCTATTCTGGGGGGTCTATTTTTAGGGGCCCACGGATTTTCGTCAACCCCCCACATCGGGAGGCCGCGCAGAGTGCTTCTTCTGAACCTGCTGGCGCCAAGCTTTCTCCGCCGATGTGATGGAGTCGGGAGCCCTGGCCTTGGCTTCCTTGCTCGAAAACATGGGGCCCGGGCTCTACTTTATCACAACTTGATTTAAAAAAAGGGATTCTGGAAAGCAGCGCAAGGTTTCACAATGTTGAAATAACGAATGCAGAACATGGTCACATGGTGTGTGCCACATGCCAGAGAAAAACGCCCCTAGATGCCCTCAAGGTATGGTTTGGCCACAGCGGGTCAACCCCGCCGGGCACAAGCTCTTCAAATTTCTGGGGATGTGTCCGAATGGTTCAACCGGATCTGGGTCATCCTGGGTGTGAACGCAGCAATGTTCGTTGTGATCCCTATTTACAGGACTTCTTGCTACAAGGAACAGGAACAAGAAAACAAGTCCAAGCTTGGACATTCTATGTGTGTCCTCCTGGTGGAGTACATGTAGCTCCAGATCTTCTGCTGATGCCTCGAGCAACAGGTTTAGGGTTTAGGGTTTAGGGTTTAGGTTTTAGGGTTTAGGGTTTAGGGTGTAGCTGTAGGACAGGGTTTCGGGTAGCAGAAGGAAAGCTTTGGGGCGGTCCATGCCCTGAATTGCTCCCACAATGTCGCATGAGGCATGCATTTCCAAACGGCGTCTACTTGAAGGTCCTGGTACTTATTAACCAATTATAACTGGACTTATCACCCAAATTAGAACCATACTAGGCACTTAAGGGCTTTTACGTACAGTTATAATTCGTTAATAAGTACCCTGATTCCGCGGGACGCCGACCGGGTATCGATATATGTACCCTGAACCTCCAAGTACATCCATCCTTGCAGGCCAGCCACACAAATGGGATGCCACCGCCGCGATCGAAGATGTCCAGCCTCTGCTGAATTAAGGACTTGAAAGCTCGGAGCGTCCTCGGAAACCGAATGGATGCTCAGCCGTTGAGTTCATAGGCCCCAGAAAAGTTGTACACTTTTAGTGCTATAGGGGATTATCGTATGCCCAAAAATGTCAAGCGTGCTCATTGCAAAGAATGAGAGTGATTCTTGAGTTCGTTAGCACGCGCCTTGTTGTGGCCGGTGGTGGCTCCCAAGACTAGTCTTGCAAAAACGCCATAAAGTTCAAAGTTGTTGCTTGGGGCTTGCCGCGCGAAAGTTCCCTCCGCTAGAAAGCGTCGAGCTAGACTCAGCTAGATTGCATGCCATTTGTGCAAGGGTTTGTACAAGAAGCGCGGCTGCTGCCTTTGAGGGACACGCTATACTACATAGGGCACCTAATTGAATGAGACCGTCGCCGCATTGCAATGAGTGACGGGATCTGAGTGCATCGGCACGACTTGAGCTTCGTCGCTCGCCACGCGAATCACGATCGGAACAACCCTGGCGCGAGCTCTGTGGTTTTGGACATCGTTAGTCATGCCACTCAGCTGTAAGGAAAGAACAAGCTTAACTTCAGGATTGCATGGCTGCGAAGCGAGATCGGGCTCTGCCAGGAGGCTATAGGTAGCAATGAGCACCACCGATCCCCAGCTTTTTACATCAAGCTACAACCCTCGGACCCTGCCCTCAAACTCCCGCATCTTCGAAGCGGCACTAATACCCTAAACCCTAAACCCTAAACCCTAAACCCTAAGCCCTACACCCTAAACCCTAAACCTGCATTCGCGACGGATCATCAGCCGACTTCATGGTCTTGTGGTGCTCTGCGGTGGCCCGGAAGCCTCGCTGAGAAGGTGCTTTTTCCCGGGTTTAGGGTTTGGGGGTTCTAGGTCTACGGTTTAGGGTTGAGGGTTTAGGGTTTAGTTTCGGGTTGGGGAAACCAGAACCTAATATTATTCTCCAATTATTGTAGTATCATTCTCCTTTATTATAGCATCAGTATCCCAACACCTACGGTTTAGATGTTTACCCCAGCTTTACCTGCTGCGACTTCAACCGCTTGAGTTGCAGCACGGTCCAGACATGAAGCCTCGGCTCGTCTGGGCCACCTGCTGTTCTTGAGAAGCTCCAACAGTATGTACATCCTCAGTGGGTGAGCAAGATACAATGAGCTGCCGCAGTCTGACAGTCGTCCACTTGTAACATGTCAGAGTGATGTCATAAGATCCATTTCGACTGTAACGGAGTGCAAATTGCCCAACAAAAATCGCGACGCCTTACCAGCATTCTCTCCTCAAGATGTGTGCAAGAAATGGGCACTACAGTAGGTAGACTACTCTTAAGCCCACAACTGCACCCAAAACGCGTCGATTGCAGCTGTCAGCGATGTGTTGGGCTTGGCTTCAAGGCGTCAGGACTGTGAGGGCTTTGTGGGCATGACCATTCAAGATCGGGGTGCGGAAGTACTCGTGCTGCAGGGAACTGCGCACAGCCCGTCACAGCCCTACTTGTGTCTAGGTGCTGCCCGACATGGTCAACGCTGGCGGATGTTAACTCTTACATGACGGTTGCGTAGATTCGAGCCCTCCAACTATGATACTAGTAAGTAGTAGTAGTAGTAGTAGTAGTAGTAGTAGTAGTAGTAGTAGTAGTAGTAGTAGTAGTAGTAGTAGTAGTAGTAGTAGTAGTAGTACTGCTGCTGCTGCTACTACTCTACTACTACTACTACTACTACTACTACTACTACTACTACTACTACTACTACTACTACTACTACTACTACTACTACTACTACTACTACACTACTACTACTACTACTACTACTACTACTACTACTACTACTACTACTACTACTACTACTACTACTACTACTACTACTACTACTACTACTACTACTACTACTACTAGACTTACTAGACGACGACGACGAAACCATTCACAAAGGCGTAGGTTTGGAGCTCTTGGTGTGGACAGCTTTCGCGACCATGCCACAGAAGCCGAGGCCGCCACAGGTATGAGGGAACAAGCGGGATGGTGCGGGCCTTGAGAAGCGCGGTTGCTCCCGGTGGTGCAAGGTCAAAGCAAAGACGGTGTGATCCGCAGCTTTGACACAACACCCTGGCACCCACTGCTAGCCCCTATGGGAGTCTCAAGGCTTGCTGGCTCACTCCGATGACATGATATAGTAGCGAGTGCTCAAACTCCGAGTGCGGATGCTCTCAGAGTCTTAGGGAAAGCACTGGGACCATGATGAGGTTGCTGCGTCCCGCAGCCCGTGGAAAGTTATCTGGACCTTTGCCAGTCAGTGGCAGGTTGCATCGGCAAGTCTGGTATAGGCACTTACATGCACTTGAGGTGCTTGCAGCAGTTGATTGGGGTTGAGCACAAGGCTAGAAAATCATGAGCCTGAAGTAACCAACCCTGCAGTGTGAAACCGCAGCGACCCATGGGCAACTTCATCTAGATACAAGTGCATGCCCAATATATTGCAGGCGCTGTCAAACGGCCGGTACCATTTGCGGCACGGCCCACAAGACTCAAACCCCAAACCCTAAACCCTAAAGCCCATAAAGCCCCTATCAGTCCAGCTGTCAGACGCCAACCGCCATCGTGCGCACCCAATGAGCTCCACCCATGGCTGCCCTACCGAGACCCTGAAGCCCCGAATTCCACCCTAAACTGCCCCAAACCCTAAACCCTAAACCCTTAATCCTAAACCCTAATCCCTAAACCCCTAAACCCAAAACCCAAACAAATAATTATCTGGCAGCGGCGCCTCGGGGAGGAGGCGGGACTCGAACTCCTGCGCTGCCAGGCGCCGCGCCTGGCGAGCTGTCGGTTTTCGGATTCTTCTGTTTGCTTTAGGGTTCAAGTTTTAGGGTTTAAGTTTTAGGGTTCAAGTTTTTTAAGGGTTTAGGGTTCAAGCTTTAGGGTTTAAGGGTTTAAGGGTTTAGGGGTTAAGGGTTGGGGTATATTTTTTGCTTGAGGGTTCGAGGGTTTGAGGGTTTAGGGGTTTAGGGTTGAAGGGCTTCAGGGTCTAGGGGTTTTGGGTTTCAGGGAGGGTTTTAGGGCTGCAGGGTTCGGGGTTTAGAGTTTAGGGTTTTGGGGTTCGGATGTTCTTCTGATACCTACCTGGGGAAAGGAGCTTGGGGGAGTGCGTTATTTCGAACGACACGACCTTCCTCCGAATCAAAACCCAGGAAGCCCCGAACGCTACGTGCTCACAGCAACTCACTGAAAACATGAGGTCAGCTCTCTCAGTTCTGGTCCCCTTTAATGGGGGGCCGCCTTGTAACTTACTTCTCCAATAGCCAAGGGGAAAAAAGGTTAACCTTTAACATTCCTACTAAATAAGGAAACCCAAAAAGTTTATAGAGTTCAACTAAAGGCGAAGTAAGATAAAGATAAAGAACCCAAAAAGGACCACAAAAGTGACTTTGAAGGGGCTCCAAGCTTTGGGCCGGTTGAGGGGAGAGTTTTGTAAAATTCGGGGGCTTGGCCTAACTTGGGGTTTTTGGTAGGATTTTGGCAAAAAAAAATCAGGGGTTTCGAGTCAGGTCCGAGGCTCCCCTAAACCCTAAACCCTCAACCCTAAACCCTTTTACCCTAAACCCTAAAACCCAAAACCCAAAACCCTAAACCCTAAACTCCCAGTATGCGCAAGAAGCATCGAAAAGTGAGCAGGGCAGCTGAGGCCGAGGCGTACTGCGCCGCTTTCCGGGCCACAGCCTGGACTGACACACTTGCTCTGATACAGCTCGGACCTCAGAGGCCTGAAATCTGCTCCGAACTCTGCAGGACCCTCCCTGAATTATCTGAGCTGTGCTTTCAACTCTTTGAACACTTTGAATAGGTTCCTAAATGAGGAAAGAAGTAAAATTAAAAACGTATCCCAAAGCACAACCCAGTTATAGCACGGTCATGAGATCCTCGCGCAAGGGTCGCAGTTGGGGTCCGCAATGCCCTTGTTCTTGGTGGACAGGGCCAGGTACCTGAGTTCACTGAGTTCAGGGCTTCCGGCATCGCGGGTGCTCGAAGCTACTGAAACTTCGTGCTTCACGCTAAGGGGCCAAGATGGCAGCAAATCCTAAACCCTAAACCCTAAACCCCAAGTGAGTCAGGCCACAGGCTGCCCGAACATCTTTTAACACCATAAGGGTAGTTCTCTAAATTAGGGTCCCTTTGGGGTCCCCTTTATCACCCGGTACCCTTATGATAAGGAGCCGAAAAAAGGAGCCCAATCTAAAGAACTACCCCATGTACCTCAGTCCTGGACCCTATACCCTATACCCTAAACCCTAAACCCTAAACCCTCGCCGGGGGACTGGGAGTTCAGCATCTCGATGCCGATCCGCGACAGCACAAAACCTCACGAGTCACGTCGAGGGCTGTTTTTTTGTTTTGAGGTTGTTTGTTTGTTTGTTTGTTTATTTGCTTCTTTCTTTGTTTGTTTCTTTGTTTGTTTTTTGGGGGCATGGGGCCTCTGATTTTTTCGGACTTGGCGTTCCTCAACTATCCCTGGAAAGCCCCATTGAACGCTCAAAAGCTTGTCTGGTCCAGAACCAACTCGCAATTACACAGCAGAATCACAGCTGACAACACCACGTCTTGTGGAGTAGTGGCTAGACTCTCATGCCGCCTAGTGCATCTCGACAGTTAGGGTGCCCGATCTACATCGAAGGTTGCGATATTGTGTATCGATGGGTAGTTGCCAAATCGGGGTACCCCTGTTATGCCCCAAATAGAATAGAATCCGCTTAGGGCAAAAAGGGTACCCCCATTTTCGGAATCCAATCCTACAGTCTCCAGAGCTCGGCATAGCAGCTGGGCGTACTTAGGCGTTTTTCTAGGGCGCGTCAGTCATACAGCATCATGCTTTGCTCCTCTGTCCATGACAGCTCCACCGGCTTCGATGCATATGAAGGGTTCGCGGCACTGAAGGACGTCAGGCACTTGACATATCTTTCCATGATGAGCCAGTCCCCGAGACTGTAAGCCGACACCGGGGACTCCAAATGCTCATCGGGCTCATGTGGGCTCTGGTCAGGTCTGGTGATGTTGGCGACTGACCTTGTGGCAACAAGGATCTGCTGCTCTTGGTGCACGTGATACCTTTGAAGGTAGTCTCGCAACATGGCGGCATCGCGTGAATGCGTGTGGTTCTTGTGCGCTATTGGTAGCTCCAGATACCCCTTGCCAGCTTTGTGGAAGGGCGTCCAACACAACAGCTTCATTGCACTGATGCCCTTCAAAGCCAGGTAAATGGCATGACCGATTATCAGCTCATCATGCTGAGGGATCCAGTCAATTATGGCTTTTGGCCAGAACCCCGCGGAGCTTGCCTGGCTGGGTGGATGCGTCACCAAAGAGGCCGTGAACGTCGGTGCTGCAGGGGGTGTCATTGCTGTGATGTTGCTGGATGCAGACTTGCCATCACAACTGAAGGCTTCCTTAGTTGTTTAGGGTTTAGGGCCTTTAGGGCCTAGGGTTTAGGGTTTAAGGTTTAGGGTTTTGTCCAGTAACCCGGGGGAACTCAAGGTTCACCTTTGGGATTCTCAGGGGAGTATATTACCCCAAAAAAGGTTAAAGGTTGCCTACTCTACTACTAAGCTTCAATGGTGAAGGTGACCCGCCTCTTTGGCCACAAGCCACACTTCGTGGCGAAGCTCAGGGTCTTCGAGGAGGCGGTCCGCATCCGGATCCCGCATTCGCGTTTCCAAACTCCGACCTTGTCTTCGCAAAACAGCTTGGGGGCTTCCTCCTCGTAGGTGGTGAATATCCGGAAATAAGCATCGTCCGGCAAGAGGGCAAGCTCTGTGTGAGGATGGGACCAATGCAGGTCCATGCACACAGAACCCTCGTCATTCTTGACATTGATTCGGGGGTCCGTGCGATGTAATTGCAGATCATAGGGCGCTGCAGGCACCAAGGCTTCCGCGCTGGACAGCCGCGGCTTTGACGGACAGCTGAAGCTGGAGCCTTCGAAAGCTGCATCTTCTTTGTCAGCGAGCTTCACCTCGAAGGCCTTATGAGCTGGCAGTTTGCGCATGAGGGCGCGGTACCGGCGGATCTTCCGGTCAGAGGAACTGGTAGCGGTGGCCGTTTCAATCTGGCCATCGTCTGGCCCGGCATCGGTGATGTCCAGTGGACGCAGTCCACCACCCCACTCGGCCGTGTACTCGGAATCCTTGGACTGCCTGCCGTAGATGTACGCCACCGGCAGATCACCAGCATACAGGAACTCGACGGTAGCACAGGACTCACTCACGCTCGGAAGGCGAGGAGTTCCCACAAACTTGCTGTGAGGATGCCACATTGGGCAATTCGCCTTCGTCTCGCGAATAAGCACCTGCATTTCCTCGCAAGCCTTGTCGCCCTTTCTGCACGCCCCTTGTTGGTTTCCGCAACCCTGCAAGATCAGACCGCATAAAGGCAGCAGGCATATGCTGACGATGGCACCTCTACCCATGCAGATCCACATGTTGGGGACCTGAGAGTTTCCCAAACTATGGTGTTTTAAGGGGATTGTAGTCTAGTTGGGGGAGGGGGGAGGGGCTATATAACGGGTAACCCTACTCTTGGGAAGTGCCCACACCTTCTAGCTGCTTGAGCCAAAATGTGTACTTGGGGTTTAGGGTCTGTGTTTAGGGTTTGGGACGGGCGACAACACATTGATGCAAAAATGTCTCTATACTGTTGTGGCACAAACTGAGGCACAAACATCCTTATCTGGGCCCTAAACCCTAAAACCCTAAACCCTAAACCGCCCTGCTTTGGGTAGGGAGTAGCTTGGTGGGGTAGCGCAGGATCTCAAAAACTCACCTTTAAAGTTAGCCTAAACCTGCCGAGAAGGCCTGAAAGCAAAGCAGACCTAATCCTGGAATCTACCGGACACCCTATGAATAAGGAGTTCTGAAATGGTTTAGGGTTTAGGGTTTAGGGTTTAGGGTTCAGGGTTCAGGGTTTAGGGTTTAGGGTTTAGGGTTTAAGGTTTAGGGTTTAGGGTTTAGGGTTTAGGGTTTAGGGTTTAGGGTTTAGGGTGATCTTGACTAAGAGGTTTTGGGCTCTCTGGGTATCGGGCGGCTGGACCTCAAACCCAACCAAACCACCTACTGCAGGTCAGGGACGATCCAGGAAGGTATCGATGTCTTCCACAGCCTACCAGGGATGGCTCTGGTCTTCTGCCATGGAGAATCCAGCATGGGACGCATGAGGAATTGTCACCGAACCCGAGTATGGCAGCGTTGTGGCGACTTGTGGCTCTGCTGGATTCTGCGACGAAGTACACAGCCTTACATTGGTTGCGAAACGTCGTGTATGGGGTTCACGCGTGCTGAGAGAAGACTTGCACAAGGTTGCAGACTTAACTCTCAAACAGTTCTGTCGCATCCCCTTTCATTCAACCTGCAACCTCAAAAGTCTGCACACCTCGGACTCGCTCTCGCCAGCTTCTATCTTCAGCCTGCAAGACATAAACGGGCACTCGCCGACAGCATTTCAGGTCTTATAGGGTGTAGGACCCCAAGTCAATGATGATGAGAAGAATAAGTGCAAGCATGGTTGTTCGCACATCAGCATGCTCGGACAAATCCGGCGCTGAACCGAGGTACGAAGGCCACGACCAGTGAGTCTTTGAGCATTGACCGAGTTCCCCATTGCAAGGACGAACATCATCTCAGGTTCCCGCACATGTGAACTCCATTACCTATATACCCCCCGCGACTTCGATGCAGCTGCCACACCAGCGTGCTGTAGTGACCATTCCCAGAGCTTTTATTATTAGTACTATTACTATTATTATTTATTATTATTATTAGTAATATTATTATACTATTATTATTATTATTGGTATTATTATTATGGCCCGATGGCAGGTGAACGGATCTGCCTCAACAAGAAGCAGACAGGCCTCTTTAGGTCCTTCATGCCAACTGTCAGGCGCTTTACCCTTGGTGAAGCGTCGTGCATAAACTGATCTCATGACAGTGTTTCGGGTTTAGGGTTTAGGGTTTAGGGTTTAGGGTTTAGGGTTTAGGGTTTAGGGTCACACTGCTACTACGCCTAGGGTTTCTGACAACCCGCAAGTCCAGTAGGACCCTTGCACGAGCTACTAAAATGGTGTCCATTACGGCCAACAAAAAGCTGCTGCGTTTGGGCCCACGCTGATGCTTGTGCCTCTCCTTCACAGAGCGAACTGCAGCGGCAAACTCCTGCAGGCGAAAGAGACATTTTCTGACTTTTGGGTCTCGGGTTGGAGTGCAGGAGCACGGACTGTCAAGGTCACAAAGAGAAGACCGTGACTTGCCTATGGCAGATGCTGAAAACATCGATGCAGGAGGCCACTTTCTCTAACGAAAGCGTCAGGTAAGACCCGCGCCTACCACCAGCACTAGTACCAGGTAGCCACAGAAACTGCTGATCGCAGAAAGGTTGGGCAAGCTTCCAAGGCAAACCTGGGGGAGTGAAAGCCGCCATTGTCCCTTCAACGCAAAGGCATGAACCGGCTTTGATAGCCCACCGGTTTCCAACCTCAACCCTCAGCCCTGCGCCCTAAGCCAACACTGGTGTCATGCAGGCCTGGCGTCGAAAACAAAGGGGAAAGAGAAAGAAAAAGAGAGAGAGAGAGAAAGAGAGAGAAAGAGAGCGAGAGAGAGAGAGAGAGAGAAGAGAGAGGAGGAGAGCAAGAGAGAGAGAGAGAGAGAGAGAGAGAGAGGGAGAGAGAGAGGAGGAGAGCAAGAGAGAGAGAGAGAGAGGGAGAGAGGGAGGGAGAAAGAGAGAGAAAGAGAGCGAGAGAGAGAGAGAGAGAGAGAAGAGAGAGGAGGAGAGAGAGAGAGGGAGAGAGGGAGGGAGGGCGGGAGGGAGGGAGGGCGGGAGGGAGGGGAGGGAAGGAGGGAGGGAGGGAAGGCGAGGGGGGGAGAGAGGGAGAGCCGGCGGGTGGCGCTTTTAAGATTAACCACAAGAGAAAACAACAACACCAATCATCAGACATGAGAAATCGTGGTCCCCGGAGGTCCCGGCCGCCGCCTGGAGGTTTGCACCCTCTTTGGCTGCACGGAGAATGTCGGCGAAGGAGCGGACCTGAGCTTCGAGTTTAGGGTTTAGGGTTTAGGGTTTAGGGTTTAGGGTTTAGGGTTTAGGGTTTAGGGTTTAGGGTGAAGCTTTTTCCCACCTGCCAAGCAGGGTTCAGGGATTCAGCATTGTAGGGTTGAGGCTTCAGGGCTTGGGACTTAATGTACCAGGCTTCGAAAGGGTCGTTCATAGCAAGCTGAACAACAAGGGCGCACTCCAAAAAGAATGACGCCTGTTGCCAAGACTCAACCCAAAGGTCCCCTTCATCCCATGCGCCGCGCCCGCCCAGCTCAAAAAGCCAAAAGCCACAAGCCCCCAAACCCTGACCGACCTCCACAAGGTTAGAGTTTAGGGTTTAGGGTTTAGGGTTTAGGGTTTAGGGTTTAGGCCCGAACTCTGAAATCCTCCGAGCCCCCAATTTGGCCACGCCACCAGCCGCGCCCGGGCACACAGAAGAGCCCTGGCCGGGGTCTTGATGGCAGTTGGCTGTTCTGGGGGGGGCCCAGAAGGGCTCTGGATGGTTTGTTCCCTACTATATCCGAACGTCCCGAACATGGGTTTTCAACTCAAAAACTGCCAAGCGACACTAAGCACAACCCCCAACCGAGGCGTTGCCACGGGCAACCATCGACCATGTCCAGATTCGTCAAGTGCGCAATGCCTCTGAGGGTGTGGAACAAAGATGACTTCGCGCCATTCTCTGCTTCTTAAGTCTTATGCGAAATATACCTTCAACTACGAATCCTGTCCTAACACTTCCTTAGTTCTTCGCCGTGCTAGCACGTTTTTGAGCACTGGCAGAACCTAAGGCTTGGACGGTTGGCCAGCCGAACCTGGGGCCGAAAGTGGAAACCCTGCTGTGCCAAAGGCAAGAAAAGCCCTACAAACCCTGCCAGAGCCATAAAACCGTAAAACCCTAGACCTTCAACGAAAGCAACCCCCTAAACCCTAAAGACTTGTCCCTGTGGAGTGACGCCTTGGCGTCTCCAGTGCGGGTGGCAAACAACAACCTAACTCGTTCAAGAAATCCGATAAAGACGCGTGGAGAAACCTGGGCCGTTTGGGGTCTGGGCTCTGGTTGGGCACGCGTATCACGACACAACAGTTCCGGAGTCCTGAGTGTTGTGTATGCTTGTGGATTGCTCCAAATAAAGGGGCCCCTAGCTTTGATGCCACTCCGGGAAACGCATCCAAAAGACGTTTGCTGCCGGAATTGCAGGTTGATCATCCTCCTCCAACGTTTCTGCACCGTTCTGATTCAGGTGCTGATGACCACACCTTTTCTACCGATTAACTTGGTTTGGGTCATGTATGCTCAAGGAAGGAAGTGCATGCAGTAGCCCACACGTGTGAGCCGGAACGTGCATCTTCCCGCCAGGCGTATAGCGTGCGCCACACAAGAGATGAGTTTGCCCTTCTCCACCATGATGGGAAAACCTCTAACAACTAGTTGGAAACATGCAACTGCCCATTTGGACCTCGTAGCCTTCCCTGAGCCAACAGCCATTTTTGGCACCCTAAACCCTCAACCTTACCTCACAAATGTTCTGTAAACACCCCTGACGCCGAGCTACGCAGGCCCAGCGCAACTGACAGGCCATTTTTCTGCGCGGCTCTGTCCATCCCCAGGGCTTCGGGGAGAAGACGTTCGGGTTTTGGGGGGAGGGGTCTAGGCTCGGAGACTCTAAGGGTTCAAACAGTTTGTAGGTCAAAGAGATCTGAACGGCAGTTGCTTCGCACACCGCGATCGGAGGCCAGCGGAATCAGCCACCATTGTGGTCCGATGCTGGGCGCAACAACACCTACAAATCCTGCCATATGAATCCTTTTTCAAGGATTCAACTAACACAAAACAGCCAACTGGGGTGTTACACCCGTTGTCTGGGCCCCCTCTTGTGGATGACCCGTGGCCTCGCATTCTGAGTAGGGATCCCGCCTGCAATTTCTAGGGCCTCATCAAACTCATCTGAGCTGTCCCACATACATATATATATATATACATTCATTTATTTATTTATTTGCTTATATTTATTTATTTATATTTATTTATTTATATTATATGTATACATAATCATTGTATAAGAACTGTTCAAATATGTGTCTGCATGGAATTCTAAGCCGGATCTCAGCCCCCAGCTCGATTCTTTCGTCTGTACCGCACAAAGACTACAAGGAAGCCTCCTTTAACCGCCCTTCTGTTGCTTGAGTCTTAGGGTTTAGGGTTTAGGTTTAGTGTTTAGGGTTTAGGTTTAGGGTGTAGGGTTTAGGGTTTAGGGTTTAGGGTTCAGGGTTCAGGGTTGAGGGTTGAGGGTTGAGGGTTTAGGGTTTAGGGGATTTTGATGGAAATCGAAGGCCAGATCCGGACTGTAGTTGCGAGGCCACGGCATCTTTGTGGCCATACGTTGCTGTACCCAAACCTCTGCGCCAAGGCGCTCACTCTTGCCTCAGATAAGGCAGCACCCTCTGCAGGACTGCAGAGTCTGACAAATTGAGGGTTTCCGAAATTGGGGGTGCCTTGTTGGGGTCCTTATTATAAGGGTTTATATTAGGGTCCCTTATTTTCGTAAACCCTCAAAATTGTTGACTCTGCCAGTCTCACCGCTTCCCCCCAATACTAGCCTCCCTGATTTTCAACCCACTTCCCCCCCCCCCTCTTCCCCCCCTCCCCCCTCTTAGGTTCAATGCTGACATGCAACCCAACTACCGAAACTGCAACGAGTGCACCGCTCGGAAACGTCAGACTGACCCACCCAAGATGCGGAGAGCACAAGCCCTAAACCCTGAATCACTGAACCCTAAACCCTTTAAACTTTAAACCCTAAACCCTAAACCCTAAACCCTAAACCAAACAGGTCGCAGCATGTGCAGGATCTCTTCGGCGGAAAGCCTCAGCTGCTGGGAGCTACGAGTTGGCATGATGGCCACACAGCAGAACTGGTAAAACCGTCCCCCCCGGCGTGCAAAGGGCCCTGTATTGCTGTGAAGACTACCGAGCCCTTTTTGATACTGAATACCCGCCCAGACCATTTTCAGGAGACATGGCTTGGGTAACAGCTAGTTTCTGGTCACTGCTGGCTTTGCATCTGCATCTGCGAGCGGCGTCGGCGGCGGTGCTTCGGGCTTCGCTTTGGCTTTGGCCTCAATACCGCACGTCCATAGAAGACATCGCATGTGACACATGTTCACATTCAGGGTCTTGGAGCACATCCTCGTCCGAAGCTGTTGTCGGCCACAGGCTCACAAGTTCTGAACCAGCTCCATGAGCTCAGCATCCCCATACTACCATCTGTCAGAGAAAAGATAGGCGCATGTACATAGGCACATGTACTTACAATGGCTTGGGGGTTGAGAGCGCGCCCCTAAATCTAAAGAAAAGGCGCACTCCCTACACGCGGACACTAATGCACACCCTAAACCTAAACCCTAAACCCTGAACCCTAAACCCTTTTTGCAGCCGGACTGAGAGCGTTGCCGGAATGGGAGCAACCCTAAACCCTAAACCCTGAACCCTGAACCCTAAACCCTAAACCCTGAACCCAGTCCCAACTCCCGGCCTTAGGTTTGGCTTTGGCCTTGGCCTTGGCTTTGGCCTGCTTCAGGGCTTTAGGGCTTCTGCCTTAAGGTTTCGGGTTGAGGACTCAGGTCTGCATATAGGTACAAGGTGTCGGGTGCTAATGTAGGCATGGACGAAGGGTCTGAAAGATGCTGTCGGTACTGGGTTCCTGCAGGCAGGTTCAGTTCGCAGCCTCTACATCGCAAGTGCTGGGCAGATGTGCATGGGCCCGTGCAGGATTCTCTCTCCAAGCCCTTGAACATGCGCGAAAGGCGCCTGCCCCGGGCACACACATACATATATCGACCACGGGATGACGAACATAGACATGTTCGCAACTTGGCTGGCTTAGGGTTTAGGGTTTAGGGTTTAGGGTTTAGGGTTTAGGGTTTAGGGTTTAGGGTTTAGGGTTTAGGGTTTAGGGTTTAGGGTTTAGGGTTTAGGGTTTAGGGTTTAGGGTTTAAGAGTAACAACCTGAAGAAATGTCTGAACATGTTGGCTGCAAGCTTCCGGAGAACAGTTCGAATCTGATCAGTAGTCAGAAGCCATATTCGTGAGGCATCGTACCTCAACCCGCCCAGAGAGCTACTGGTAGGAACTCGGCGGTACCCCTTGACTCTCTTGGGGGTTTACGATAACAAGTGCCCCCAAAGATAGACCCCCAAATAGTAGGATCCCCTTAGAATACGGACCCCAATAAGGTACGCCTACTTGGAGGTTCATGGTACTTAGCAACCCGATTATGACTGTACCTCTAAACCCTAAACCAAATTATAACCCCATTAGGGTACTTAAGGGACATTATGTGTGGGTCATAACCAGGTAACTACGTGCCCCTGAACCTCCAAGTATGTTCGTAAACCCCCCAACTTCGAGACACCCCGGCCCCTCCTAGACATGCCAAAGTGAAGATTTCTCGCCGCAAGAGCGCCCAATCACCTCCAAGCTTTGGCTTGGAGGGCTTTACAGCAACCCTACTTTGGAGTAGTCCCTGGAAAAAAAGCGCATACTTCTTAGGGATAAGTAGCGAAATTCGGAACCCAGAACCGAAGCAAAGTATCGAAGCATAGTACTGCAAAACCCTTGTAGACTCCAGAAAGTTGGAACATGGTTTAAGGATGATTAGAGCTGGGATTTCCCTTTAGTATAAATTTTTGGGGTATGGGATAAGGATGTTCCAACTGCTTGGAGTTTACTGTAGCGGCTTTAGCAGTCTTAAAGCGGCTTCAGGAGGGTTGCAGTCGAATCAGGTTTGGGCCCCCTGGTGAGGTGTTTGTACCGCAGGGCGTTTTGAGGTGACTTTGTGGGACTGTTGGTCTCCTTCACTGTGCCCTCCGAAGCTGAAATCACCAGCAGTGCCTAAACGCGAGCCCCGAAAAACGGCATCCCAAGCGCCTCAAACCATGGCATAGTCTCCCCTTGAATTCGGGAACACTCTTGAACTGGCAGGAGATCTCGATGAACACCCTCGCTGATATTTGGCACCCCATGAAACGTGAATTCTCGAACCTTGCACCCACACGACACTCGGAACTCGGCCCCAAGCAAGTCGCAAAGCAAGCGTACCGACTATCAGCCACCATGACTACTAGTTGCTTAAAGAACCCCCCCCCCCCCCCCCAAAAAAAAAACAAAAGAGAAACAATAAAAGAGAATACTTCCCTATATGACCCTAAGGAAGAATATTTTTGTAGGGTTCTTCAGCAAGTTGTAGATCAGGGCACCTTCTCCTCTGCCACTGCCGGTGCGCCGTCCTAGGGGCGGATGATGTCATGCTTCGCTCGTTTAGGGATTAGGGCTTAGGTCTTGGGGCTTGAGGCTTAGGGTATAGGGTTTAGGGTTTAGGGTTTGGGGTTTAGGGTTTAGGGTTTAGGGCAACTGGCTCTGGGGATTTCCGAAATTAGGGGTACCTTATCGGGGTCCTTGTGAGGGGGAATTCTGCTATCTGGGGGTCCCCTATGTTCGTAAACCTTCATTTACGTTCCTGAGGCACTTGCTACGGCAACTTAATGTCGACCCTCACACCTAAACACCCAAAGAGCCCACTATCCCTTCATTAAGGAATTTTCCTTCAACCATCCTCAGGATCCCTATAATATATATATCCCTTATATTATAAGGGATATTCCTTAATTAAGGGGTATCAAGGGCTCTCTGGGCAGGGCCCTGTTGGTGGAGACCCAGCAGCCGCACTCTCCACGTGGCTGTCGGCGAAGACGCTGGCGGCCTGGCAAACTGGGAATGCCAGGCTTCTAAGCTGCACAAAGGGGTTTAGGGCTTTTTCCCTCTTGCGCAGGGGTTTAGGGTTTTTTTTTGGCTCCCGACTAGCCATGGCACAGCGGGGTTACATGGTTGGTCTGGGAAAATTTCGGGTTTAGGGTTTTTGCCGCCAGGCGGACAAGCGGATCGGGAGTTTCTGGCAATGCGTTTAACAGTCTGGAGTACCAGTTGTTGGGCTCAAAGAAGCTGACGACACTCGTGCAAGTTGCTTGAATCTCAATGAGATACTGTACTATACAAGTTCAAGAGTTATGCGAAATCCCATCAACTTTGCTGACTCGGCATGGCGCCCCCCTTAGAACCGACGCACGTGAGGTGGGGTCTTCGTGGCATCTCAAACTCCTCGAACCCCACACACCGATGCTCACCCAACTCCTGGTTCTGCAGCTGCGGCCACTAGTTTACTTACTTGAGTTCGTATTCATGCAAACGCATACCGGGTTTCAGTCTCCATGAACTCAGGGCATCAATTATCATGCGGTCGACTGATGCAGGTGTCGTGCAAACTATTCAATTTCGAGGCTCTGGTGGTCTGGGTGTGCGTGCCACTTACTGGGAATTTCATGCCACCCGCACCTCCCCTCTCGGACGCACTGCAGGTTCGTTACGAAACCCTAAACTCGAACCTACAGGATCCCAGCTCAAGACTTCGTCACTGACGCTCAGCTTTTTGCTTTCTCGGCTTATCCTTCTCGCACTGGCGTGCCTTGCTGCAAGTCCTTCTTGCTGCAAGACCAACTACAACAATCCCGTGAGGCATGTGGAAAGAGGGGTGTACATGATTGCGGCCCTTTTGCAATGTTGACCCCGGCCATGTGAAAGTGCCTTGATGTATCTTGCTGCTTTGGTTTCGCCCATGGCTCACAGGTTTTGTCAACCAAGAATCTGCCACTTCGGTCCGATACTGATCGAAGCCCGAAGGGCGGCGTGATTTGGGGGGAGGTTTCCGAAATTCGGGGTACCTTCACGGGGTCCTCACCAAAGAAAAAGGAATCCTACTATTTGAGGGACGATAGTAAGGCTTGGGTCCCCGAAAATTCGGAAACCTCCAGTGGTGTTTGAGCAAGACTGGGGTGTGGGATGTGGGAACTGCACCTCGGCACGGCGTGGAGCTGCACGAACCCTCCACCATGACCAAGAAGAATCCAGAAGCAACCACCAACCAGAAGTGAATCATACAAGGGATACTGTAAGTAAGACACGGCCACTGCAGGGCTGGGCATACTCTGGGGGTTGGGGGAACTGGGGTTGGGCACTCATTCTCTTGGGGTTGGGCACACCAGGGATTGTTTGCGCATAGTCTGGCAAGTGATTTTGTGGGGATATTTTGGGGTTGGCACTGCAGGGATTCTCCGGATGTTGTGGTTCGTAGGGGATATTCTGGGGCTGGGCACTCCCGGGACTCTCTGGGGATACTCTGAGGTGGGATGCGGGTGATGGGCGACGAGCAGACCGCGCGAGGAGAAGAGTTTAGTTTAAATCTAACAACCCACACCGAGGGCGGCGGAAAAATATAAAACACAAATATGATATGCATACAATACATATATAAGGTTAACATATTACAATGTATATACGTAGAGACCCGTAGAGACCAAGACCCACAATTAATGCGCAAAAGACACGGTGCCTAAATGCGAGTGATCACTGTGGGCTCAAAATCTTGGACCTGTAACTGCTGCTGATGAAACAGAGAGAGCAGTGGAGGGAATCCATATCCTTTTGTTGCGAAAGACCCAAGCCTGCCCCCGCAAAGGCATACAGAGAATTGTGGTTCCTGTTTTTGCTGGTGGATGGGTTGGGGGATATAGCACATGATACATACATACATACCCTAAACCCTAAACCCTAAACCCTAACGTACGTACATACATACATACATACAAGCCCACTTGTCTTGTGCACGACGGAAAAGAAGCCGAGCTGAGGTGGCAGGTACCCCACAGAGTGCTCATTCCCTGACGGACTTCCTTATAAGCAGGACCGGTTGGTGTATGCACATATATATACATGTGTATATATATGTGTATATATATATGTATATATTTATTTATTTATGTAGACTACATACATATTCTACTTGAGGGGCAGGCCGTCAAGCCAAGCTGCGCTATAGCTTCCTTGGCTCTATACCATGATATGTTGTCTAGAATATACATATATACATATATGCATATATACATATATACATATATACATATATACATATATACATATATACATATATACATATATACATATACATATATATATATATATATATATATATATAGATATAACTTAATATCATATAATGCACTATCAATATTGCATATACATAAATATGTACATCTATATTCGCAGATCGTGCCTGGCATGCGAGTTGCGGGCCTTAGGCTTTTGGAGTCCTTTTAGAAGTCCGTTTAGAGGTAACTTTACCTTGCCAGGCGCCACTCAGTGATAAATCTAACACTTCCTCATCTTGGCGGTCCCCGGAGACCATGGCCACACCCTGTCCTCCAAAGACTCCGAAGTAAGGTCCCTCTAACCCTGAGCCCTAAACCCTAAACCCGAAACCCTAAGATGACTATCAGCGATTAGCCGAGGTCGGATCACGGGGATGTGCCTGCAATTCGGAGGAGCAGGAACAGGAGCAGGAGACCAAGTAGTCGGTTTAGGGTTTCGGGTTTGGGGTTCTCCGCTGAGGCCCCGAGGTAGGGTTTGGGCCGCTACTTGGTCTCCACATGCCATGCTGCATGCATGACGTGGCGACGTAGATCCTCGAATTGCACACCAGTGGCTCTTGCCACCCTTGCCTCCATGTGGGGAGGGGGTTTCCGAAATTGGGGGTACCTTGTTGGGGTCCTTATTATTTTGCAATCCTACATATTGTTTGGGGGTCTATATTCGGGCTCGCTTATTCTTGGTGAACCCCCCCCCCAAAAAAAGCTCTGAAACGGGAACATGCTGGGCCGGGGCCTTTCCTCCACCCAGGGCAGTGGATTGGCTGATCTTCCGACGCCATGTTGTGAGACTCTGCTCGATTCCCGGCCGGCTGGCTTATCTCTTCTCGCTCTTGATATTTTATTCTTCTTCTTCTTGTTTTTCTTCTTCTTCTTCTTATTCTTATTCTTCTTCTTTTCATTCTTTTCATTCTTCTTCTTCCTCTTCCTCTTCCTCTTCCTCTTCCTCTTCCTCTTCCTCTTCCTCTTCCTCTGCCTCTGCCTCTTCCTCTTCCTCTTCCTCTTCCGCTTCCTCTTCCTCTTTCTCTTCCTCTTCTCTTCCTCTGCCTCTGCCTCTGCCTCTTCCTCTTCCTCTTCCTCTTCCTCCTCCTCTTCCTCCTCCTCTTCCTCCTCCTCTTCCTCCTCCTCTTCCTCCTCTTCCTCCTCCTCTGCCTCCTCTTCCTCCTCTTCCTCCTCTTCCTCCTCTTCCTCCTCTTCCTCCTCTTCCTCCTCTTCCTCCTCTTCCTCCTCTTCCTCCTCTTCCTCCTCTTCTTCATCTTCTTCCTCTTCCCCTTCCTCTTCGTCTTCGTCTTCGTGTTCTTGTTGTTCTTCTTATTCTTCTTCTTATTCTTCTTATTATTATTCTTCTTCTTCCTCTTCTTCTTCTTCTTCTTCTGCTTCTCCTTATGCTGCTGCTGCGGCTAGGCCTGCAGCCTCTCCCACTCCATTCTTTGCTTTTGTGCTGTTCTGTCTCTCACTCCCTCCCTCTCTTTCTCTTTCTTTCTTGCTTGCTTACAGCGCACGTGGCCCCGGAGAGCGGCCCTAGGGGCTTGCTTCACCGAGCCTGTTGGCGTGTGAGACCAGGCGTATGGGAAAGAGTTGAGCTCCCCTTTCACTTGAGGACCTTGCCTCCGCACCCGTTGGGTTGATTGGTTGGCTGTCTCTCCCTCTCTCTCGCTCTCGCTCTTGCTCTCACTCTCACTCTCACTCTCACTCTCACTCTCTCTCTCTCTCTCTCTCTCTCTCTCTGCTTGCAGTCTCACTCTCTCTCTCTCTCTCTCTCTCCCTCGCTCTCCATCTCCATCTCTCCATCTCTCCATCTCTCCATCTCTCCATCTCTCCATCTCTCCATCTCTCCATCTCTCCATCTCTCCATCTCTCCATCTCTCCATCTCTCCATCTCTCCATCTCTCCATCTCTCCATCTCTCCATCTCTCCATCTCTCCATCTCTCCTCTTCTTCTTCTTCTTCTTCTTCTTCTTCTTCTTCTTCTTCTTCTTCTTCTTCTTGTCCTTCTCCTTCTCCCCTTCTTCTTCTTCGGAGCTTAAGGGGAGCGGACCCCCCCCCAGCGCGCGAGGCGCGCCCAGGTCCAGCGTCCGAGGTTACACTTCAGCAGTGGAGACTGCAAGCCAGAGGTGAGTAGACTTCCCCCCCCGTTCCTCACTGAATCACTCCATTCCCCCCATGACCTTACTCTCTCTCTCTCTCTCTCTTTCTCTCGCTCTCTCTCTCTCTCTCTCTCTCTGTCTTTTTCTTTGTCTCTCTCTCTCTCTCTCTCTCTCTCTGTCTCACTCTCTCGCTCTCTCTCTCCTCCTCCTCCTCCTCCTCCTCCCCTCCTCCTCTTATTCTTCTGCGTGCTTGAAGGCCCCCTCGCGGAGGAACCTGGCCTCGCTCCCCCCCTCTCTCTGTTTGAGCCCTTCACCTCAAATTCTTAGCCCATCTGTTGGGCCGGGAATCGGCCTCCAGCAACATGCAGAAAGTAACATGTGACTGAAAGCCCGCTGGAAGCGTACTTCTGCATATGCTCCACTTCATACCCAAGGGACTTTGCAAATATGGGTGTTTCCAATATAGGGACCCCAATATACCCCCCACCCCCCACACCCAACGCAAACAAAGAGGGTTTTGGCCACATTTGGTACGCTTCACAACAAAACTTCGCTTGGCCGACTGGTACACACCAGCGGCTCCCTGTATACAAGCGGCGAAGTTTTCGCGGCACAAGACAGGTTCACTGCGGGAACACCTGTTTCTACATCCGCCTTGAAACATCGTGCCTTCTGGCAACGGCCTCAACTAGAGGTCGAAGAATACCACGCCATCCCTCTGTGTAATCACCATGCCGCTGACGCGGTCTGGAAGACGGGCTTCGGTAGCCCCCAGTGCCATGTTGTACCCACAAGGTTGTGGATCTGCGGCTGCGGGAAATGGCAATTCTGCTGGAGTTGGTAGCGGAAGCTGCTGTCTCTGGCTCTCCCCCCTGTCTCCAGCCGTCCACATGCCTTGCGTGTCTCCCACGGCGGATGTTTCCCTTCTGGCGTCGTGAACGCGCAGCTCCATCTGCTCACCTGCAGACATGGGGATGGATATTGTAGGCGGGTCTGCTCTTGGTGCAGATCGGGCCGCCGAGCTCTGACGCGGCTTTGGCTGACTACGCTGCCTCGTCGCCGCACGTCTTGCTAATTGAGCAGACGGCCGACGAGGGCCCGCCACTTGGCAGGTGTCTCTGGCTCCACGCACGGCCACTCTGAGCCGCTGAAGAGTCTCAGGCGGAACGAGCATCCTCACAGCCAAGCGCAAGGGTATTTGGCGGCACCCTTGAAAAACTGTGGGTGCAGTGGCGCTCTCCAGGCCGCGCCAGCCAGCTTTCGCGTAAAAGGCCCCGAGGTTCTCAGATAGGCCTTGATAGCGAGATTGCTGTACTTTCCTGATGTAGCCTTGGCCGTCTCGAATCTGGTTGTGCACTGAGGTCCAACAGTTGAGGCAGAGGTTGTGAAAGACGAAGTTCACTACAATCACACGACGGCATAGTAGATACACGAAGTCGTAGGGCAAGACGTTTCCTTGCCACAGCGGAGGACAGATCGTGCCAAGCATCCGCAGGAACTCGTCTTTGTCAACGTCCTCTGTGGTCCGAAAGGCGAGCGTAGTCGCCCCATCAACCAAGCGAGACATGCTCGTAGTCCAGCCCAGACCCTTCTAGCGTGGTCAAAGTGGCGAATGTGCTTACAGGGTTTTCTGAAAAACACAAGGGAGGCTACAGCAGCTGCTAGGAAGGGTCCTGGCTCAGGGGGCGTGGCCCAGACAAAGTTGAAGCAAGAAAGGGCTAACTCCAGGCTGCAGCGGAGGGACACTTGAGAAAGTGAGACTGTTGCTGTGCGACGTGAGAACCGGAGAGAAGGGTTTAATTGCCTTAAGGGTCCAAAGCACTTCTGAGCCCGTGGTTACTTGGAGGTTCATGGGTAGTAACGAGTAGGGTGATACGTACCCTAAACAGGGTTTTTAGTCGAATTACCATACCAATAACCCTACGTATAACTGCCCATGAACCTCCAAGTTGCATTTTCCTCATCTGGAGTCAGAGTCCCTCCGCTGCGCTGCAGATAAATGCCAATGATTCCCGAGAAGGCCCGCTGACACAACGCTGCGAGGAGGATTTAGGGTTTTGGGGGGCCAAGCCTTGGGTTTTGGGGGGCTAAACCCTTGGATTTCCGCAGTCATTCCCAACAACTGTGTCAGCGGGCCACTGCGATCTGGAATCTTGCTCTCACGGGCGCGTCACGGCGCAGTCCACGTCAGCTCAAGAAGGTGATGTAGGTGGTTCAAGGGTTTCAAGGGAGGTGAGAACGTAGTAGAGTACGCTGGGATGTTCCCCCTTCCACTAACACTCCTTAATGGGGATTACGGTACCCTATGAAGCACTATTAGTATAGCGTGGCCTGCGCCCACAAGGCGCCACAGAGCTCGCCGTGGGTGGCGGAAAGTTAAAGTCTTTGGTCAAAGCAAAACGACGATGCAGCCAGCCGATTTTAGTCGCCAGCTTGAGCCCAGATGGTGCAGGGTTTAGGGTTTTTGAGGGATTTGGGGTTTAGGGTTTAGGGTTTGGGCTTGGGAGACACTCCCAGGCACAGTCTTTATGAGCAGCTCTCACTATCTGCCACAACAAGGCCAAGGCAAAAAACTAAAAGAGATGCAGATAATGAGTGAGTGCGGCAACCCATGCTTAAGAACTAATCCGCAGCACCAAGAAGGGACAGGCACTGCCCGTGTCTGGATGGAAGCAGATTCCCAAAATATGCTGCTTGGCTTCTCTTTGGATTTGGCGATGCTGGGGAGTTTGCCTCAACCTCTGGACCTTTGTGACTACCTTCAATATCCCTTAATGAAGGAATATACCTTAAATCAGATTAGGGATCCTACTATACTTTAGGGTAGGGATATTGTAGTCTCTGGGTTTCCCATTGAAGGCTGCAGCATCACTCTGAACCTCAGCTTGAACACAGGCATGCAACAAGAGCCCTCAGTAGGGTGTACTGTTTACTACTATTTGCTTAAGAACCCCAAAAGAACATTTTAAAAAAATATGAGAATCCCCATATCACCCTTAATAAGGATAATAGTATTCTAATTTTTTGGGGGGGATTCTTAAGCAATTCGTAGCTTAGGGAAGCTACAAAGGCCAGGCCCGGGGTGCCTTGGCCTTGGCCGCTGCTTTCGCCTTGGCCTTGGCCTTGGCTCTTGCCTTGGGCGTGCTGGCTCTGGGAGTTGGGAGTGCCTAAGAGGGCCGTTAATACACTCAACCCAAAGAAAGGGCCCCAAATCGGGTTTAGGGTTTAGGGTTTAGGGTTTAGGGTTTAGGGTTTAGGGTTTAGGGTTTAGGGTTTAGGGTTTAGGGTTTAGGGTTTAGGGTTTCTTTGGGCCCCAAATCGGGTTTAGCCTTGTGAGGCTGAAGGCGCACTTAGGTGCAAAGGGGCGCCAGCATGTGACTCCGAGAAAGCAAAGCATCCCAACATGGCTTCGCTGCGATTTCCCCCCGCTGCTTCCCACCAGGCTCTGCAGTGGCCCCTGAACTTTTCACCAAAGCATCCCAGGCCCTAGTGATAAGGGCGGGTCTTACAGAATCTACTTGGAAGCTCATGGGTGCTTGTAAGTAGGGTTTGGTGTACCCTGAGTAAGGCTATAGCCGTAGTTACCCTACTTAGAAGTAGCCGTGAACCTCCAAACACAGGCTCTTTCACTGAGCTTCTCCATGCTCACACCTACCCTAAACCCTAAACCCTAAACCCTAAACCCTAAACCCTAAACCCTAAACCCTAAACCCTACCCTAAAGGTCCTAGCGGAGACCTCTGAACCTCCAGAAACCTCGGCTGTCTGTTCCTACGAGCTGCAGAAGCAGAGAAGGCCAGCCCCTGAATGAAGTCTTGAAGGCTGTCCTGTCTGGCCACTCTGAAGTACATGATTTGAGCTAGTGAGCATGTCGAACAACAGTTTTGGGGCCGGGGTGTATGTTCAACGGAAGATCAACCCAAGACACAGGAACGCAAGTATGTTGTGCCCAAACCCTTAACCCCCAAACCCTAAGCACTTAGCCCTTACAGTTTATTGTAGCCCTTAACCCTTAACCTTTAACCCTTCACCGTTCACCAACCCTAAACCCTAAACCCTAAACCCTAAACCCTAAACCCTAAACCCTTACCGCATCGCTAGGGCTGTGCAGGTTCCCTCGCTCCTCCTGCGCTTCAGCGCTGGGCCCCGCCGCGTCAACGGCGGATTTCGGATCCGCGTTGTCATCCTCATCGCGCGGCGCTGAACCCTTGAGCTGTTCGCGTGAACCCTCCTTTCCTCCTATTTTACTTGCTTGTCGTTGAAGGGGGCGAGACCCAAGAGTGGCCGAGGAACGGACAAGGGTGCCCCTTGTTGTTCTAAAGGGGGTTTACAAGAAGCTAGGCCAAAATAAAAAGGACGCAAAGGCCATACAGCAGGGCCAGAAAAGATGAATAAGGGCCTACTCCAGGTCCTAGCAGTTGGGGAATATTGGGCTTGGGGTAGGCTCAATCCTGTTGATACTTGGAGGTTCTTAAGTAGTTCTAAGCAGGGCGATAGGTATGGTAAAACTATACATACAACTCTGTTTAGGGTACTTATAACCCTACTTCAAAAGTACCCATGAACCTCCATGTAGTGGGCCGTGCACGGCAGAGAGCTCCTGTTCAGGGGGGTTTGGTGAAGTTGCAGCCCATCGTCCTGCGGCATCAGGTCGGGGGAGCCCAGGCACGCCCCAGTGCCGGCCTCAGCGGCGGTCACTGGAGGCTGCCGCGGTTTAGGGTTTAGGGTTTATAGGGTTTAGGGTTTAGGGTTTAGGGTTTAGGGTTTAGGGTTTAGGGTTTCGGGTTCGGGTTTCGGGTTTAGGGTTTAGGGTTTAGGGTTTAGGGTTTAGGGTTTAGGGTTTAGGGTTCAGGGTTTAAGGGGCTCACGGCTGGGGGTGCTTGGATGTCTTGGATGCGTGGCTCAACGGCTCGCTTCTCACACAAGAAAGCAGAGAACTTGGAGGCTCATGGGTACTAGAAAGTTGGGCATTATAAGTAGGGCTACTATGGTTCTAACCTTAACTTCGGGTACTTGAAACCTTACTTATCAGTACCCATGCACCTCCAAGGATGAAAGTTCTAAGCCACCTTTGTCGCTCAAAGCACCTCCCCCCGCACTTCTACAATTCTACAACCCTTTTTGCTTGCATCGCCTTCAACACCCAACCGAAGTTCTCAAAGACCGACAGCAAAAGCAGCAAGACCCGGAAGCCTCCCTAAACCCTAAACCCTAAACCCTAACCCCTAAACCCTAAACCCTAAACCCTCCACCTCCTTTCTGGACCAGGAGGCGTCGCTCATGTCCAGCTTCGACTGCTGGGAGCCTACGGGCATTTGGATGGTTGCGGTCCCCAACTCGGGCGCTTAAGGCATTCTGCTAGGAGGTTCATGGATAGGTAGAAGTAGGGTTATGGTAACTATACTTTTAGGGTTTAGGGTGTAGGGTTTCGGGTTTCGGGCTACTTGGAAGTTCATGTCATGGGTAGTTAGAAGTAGGGTTATGAGTATGGTAACTATACTTGTGACCCCTACTTAGGGTACTTATAACCCTACTTATAAGTACCCGTGAACCTGCAGTTTGTGCAGTGTAGTCGCGGCAACCGGGTCATAGACAATGCTACGAGGGTGGGAGTCATAGCAACTGTCAATGACAGCAAGGGCACTGCACGTGTCTCAGGGTAGAAATCACAGGCAAACACACACACAAGTTTGCAACAAGCAGAAAGCAGAACAGCCCGAGGCAGCAGAAAAAAACCAAAAACTCTACGGCTGCTTTTGCTTGCTTTTGTAGTTTTTGTTGAGTTCCAAGCCCTCCCCCGCACCCTGACAACCTCGTGGTGTCCGCACGGAGTCGTTCAAGTCCGGCTGCCTAGGCCCATTGGCTGTACTCAGACTTCGAAAGCCGAGCCCAAAAGCGTAAAATCCAGCTTCTGCGGCGAGCTTTCCGTCCCACTATGTTAGCCTTCAGCTTGGGGACTTTCTCCACTGGCACGAACTAGGCTTCAGCGAGAAGCAATGAAGCCGAAATCCCTCCAAGCAGCACAAAATAGTAGTCCTGCCCCTAGAAGTATGTATAGACAAAAGTGCCACAAGACCTAAACCCTAAACGCTGCGGGCTAAACCCTAAACCCTAAACCCTAAACCCTACTCTAGGATCTGAAGGCCCCTCCATGCGCAGCGAGGCTCTCCCCAGATCCGAGCCAGCCTTGGCGGTAACTGAACTGGCTTCAGAGGCGTACGGGGGGGCTGCCATCTCATGATACGTGTGTTACACAGCGAAATCATAAAATCCTTTTGGGTCTCATGTTGTTCCTTGTAGCTTGAGTTCGGGCACCCAGAAGGGCCCTAATCCGGATCTGCCACCACATTGTGAGGACTTGAATGCGCAAGGCACGGCGCATGGCGTCAGCAGGGACGGTTAAACTCCGACATACGTGTGTCAGCACGGAGAACCCAAAGCCGCAATGTTTCTCCCTGGCCGTTCTCACAGCAGATACGGCCGTCTGCTAGCTGAAGAGACTTGCCAAAAAGAGGTTTGAGCTCGTCTGCTTGGAGGACCCAAGGACACTTTGAAGCCCACTTAAGCCCTGCGAACCCAGACAGGAGACATTAGGGTTTAGGGTTTATTCAGGGTTTCTTTAGGGTTTTTTTCGGGTTGATTTAGGGTTTATTTAGAGCTTCATTTCGTGTAAGTGTAGGGCTTCGGGGTCTAGGGCCCAAGCAAGCTCTCCCCAACACCTTGGTCGCCTGGGATTCGGGCCCGCGGAGCCGAGCCTTGGCAGCCTTTGCCCAGGGAAAGCTCACATGCCAGGTTTAGGGTTTAGGGTTTAGGGTTTAGGGTTTAGGGTTTAGGGTTTAGGGTTTAGGGTTTAGGGTTTAGGGTTTAGGGTTTAGGGTTTAGGGCCCCTGGCTCTGCTTGCACACTGGTCTTCGTTGCTGAATTCCACAGCCCCCCAACCATGTACACGTTCAGTTCTTCCGGGGATTGTAGCATCCCAAAAAGTAATCGGTGCTTGCCGCATGATCATGGCTCCCTAAACCCTAAACCCTAAACCCGAAACCCTAAACCCTTTTGGAGGAGGACTCCAGCTGTCTCTTTCCTGCCCTCAAGTCCAAGCTCGAAGAGCGCGGGCGCCTGGCATCCAGGCCACGGAACTGCTTCTGAAGCTCGTCCCTCAGAAGCAGCACATGTGGGGGGTGGCTCTGGGATTCCTCACGACCTACCGGGCTTTTGGGTTTAGGGCTAGGGTTTAGGGTTTAGGGTTTAGGGGTTAGGGTTTATCTGGGCGAGCTGCTGAACGATCCCTGTCCGCAAGCTACTAGATCGAGACACGTCCTTAATCTGCCTGTGGTTTGCTTTGGCTGGTACCCTTACCGCCCCTACCGGTAGCACGCGGTCTTACGTGCAACAACTCCATGTCCCACAGAGGCCCTCCAAAACCCGAAGTCGCATCGAAGGCACCATGCCCCACGGTATGGCACATCTAGTCACATAGATGCACATCTACACGGCATGCGCATTCACAAGGCACCGGGCGCCTCAGCAACAAGCGAGATATTCTGCATGCCCCTAAACCCCAAAAAACCGTTTGAGAACTCCGCCTACAGACTCCCCTACACAAAGCCCAGGTTGCTGTAGCCGCCACTGCCGCTTCAGCAGCTGCTTGACTTCAAAGCTCACCTGAGACATTCTGAGCCTTAACACAAGGTCCACATAGATCCACGAACCGCGGACTCTTGCCTTTCTAAGCCTCCCACGCCTCAGCCGAACAAAGCTGTGCCGAATAGCCGGTTCTCTGACACACCGGGCTCCTTCCAAGGTAAAACTCTGCTAGGCCCAACCTAGGGAATTAGGGCCCTATGTCATCCCTTGAAGGGTGTATAACATATAGTGCCCTCATTTCCTCATTCCCTACTAAGAACCTGGTGTTTTTTGAAGCGTGGACTGAGGTCAAAGGCCCAGAAGGTTTCTGTTCCTTAGACCCTAAAGAGCCCTGAACGCTCTAAGTCAGCGCCTTCCACCCAGCGGCCAAACTCACATCCATGGATGAGGCAGAGCCTCGCATCCGGCAGCAGGCCTTCTTGCTGTAGACGTTGTTTAGGGCTACTCGGAGGTTCATGGGTACTTATAAGTAGGGTTGAAAGAAAAGTAGCCTGAGTAAGGTCAGAACTAGTTACTCCACTTATAACTTATAACCCTACTTATAAGTACCCATGAACCTCCAAGTAGGGTTCCCTCTTCAGGAATGTTGGGCTTTGTCGCTACACTACAATCTGAAAGTTGTTGGGGGCCTTAGGGAAAACCCTACTGTACCCTGACCTCCACTGCCTGACCTCGGAAATCCTTGAAGTATGTGATGCCAGTGCGTTGAAAGCGTCCTGCTCCCACACGTTTGCATGCTGGGGCCAGGGGAGGGATCCTACTCCGTAGCGTTGAGGGCTCAGGTCCCTCTGTAATCACCCTTTCGCGGATCGCTTTTCAGGAGATGCCAATTCCAGGCCCTGCTTTATTACTAGTATAATATTAGTATCATACTAGTATAACATCAGTATGATAGTAGTATAATCTTAGTATAATATCAGTATAATAGTAGTATAATATTAGGTATAATATTTGCATAATATTAGTATACCATTAGTATAATAGGAGTATAATATTGGGTAAATTGTTAGTGTTATTTTAGTATAATATTGGGTCTATTATTGGCGTCATTTTAGTATAATATTTGTCATTTGTAAGCTAGCCCTGCGCTCGCCAAGAGCTCGCGCTGGTGGCTCTGGACAGTCGGGCCAAGGTTCGGCGAACGGTTTTCCACAACCAAAGGCTTCTCGCGGTCTAGGGTTTAGGGTTTAGGGTTTAGGGTTTAGGGTTTAGGGTTTAGGGTTTAGGGTTTAGGGTTTAGGGTTTAGGGTTTAGGGTTTAGGGTTTAGGGTTTAGGGTCACAAGCAGCCAACCCAACAATGAACAAACATCGCTGAGCTGAGCTTCTTGAACAAAGTCGATGAAGCTCACAGATGTGGCACCTGGTGCATTGCCGGGAGACTGGCTGGGTAAACCATCAGAACTTCAGAGAACATGACACTTAAAAGGCAACCAATGCTGCGTCATCACAGTGGCTCACAGGCACCAACACATGGCAGTGTTTGGATTGGCTACCTGCTCACTCCCGGAATCCCACAACCCTAAACCTTAAACCCTGAACCCTAAACCCCAAAAAAACTGTGCTGAGCTGCTTGGTGAGACCATCGCAAAGAACGTGGTGCCTTAGGCGCATTGATGTGCAGAGTCTGTCTTTTGTTCGGGTTTAGGGTTTAGGGTTTAGGGTTGAGGGTTTAGGGTTTAGGGTTTAGGATTTAGGATTTAGGGTTTAGGGTTTGGGGTTTTGGGCTTTTTCTGTTAGGAGGTTGGGCTCTAGAACTTGATGCTGATTGGCAGCACCGCCCAGAATGCAAGATAAGTCCAGACGAAGATGAGCTGCAGTCCTTGATGTCGAGGCCGTGGAACTTCAAGAAGGCCTGGGCAAGACATGAAGCGGAGACATGCGCACCCCTCAGCCCTCCGACGAAGCATCTAAGATTCCCCGCGTCGAGATGAACCATCGCAACCACGAACCGAAGTCGGAACTCTGATCGAGCTCATACCCCAAAGGTCTACCGAGTCTACCGGACAGTCTACTGGGCCGCATCCTCAAAAACTCCTTGGCGGCACCGCTTTTGCTAAGCCGCTTGGGGGTCCTCGGAACCATCTAGACCCGAGGATCCTGAACCCCACCACATGCGTTCTGCCGAGCGGCTGCCAGCTGGTTATCGCTTCCCATCGCCTCCCGAAACTCATCGACACTGATGGAGCCTTGGCTGTGGACCTCCCGAAACCGGGCTTTTGAACTGGCCAGAATGTCCAGTCCCCCCAACCGAGCGATGAGCTTGCTTTTGTGAGGAAACCACCCTTGCTTCTGCTTAACGGAGCCTGTCAGAAACCGAACCCCTCAACAAAGGGTTCAAACGGCCCTAGCAACCTAGTCTATGTGGCGACGGCGCTGAAAGGGATCGGAGGCTCGTCATAAAAATTTGGGTGATTGTCCAGCTGCACAACCCCACCCCTCAAGCAAGGGATTCAGGGCAAAAAAAACCCTAATTAAGGAGCATCCCCTCATTTGTACTTAGGAGAACTGTTATGAATTAGGGTATATTCCTTAATTACCGGGGCTTTGGAAGATCCGGAAAACAGGGCCCAAAACAGGGCCCCTTGCGACGAAGCGACCGTCGCCATCCCAGTCAACCTCGGGTTCTGGAGTTTGCTTGCTGTTGGTTACCAGCAAATGGGGGAATGAGGTACCCCCACCTCCCCCGATATATACCCTTTAAGGGATTATATAGGGTACCTCATTCCCCCGTTCCCTACTAACCAACAGTAAGTTTTTTGTTGGGTTCTGGAGTTTGTCTTGAAGCAGGGTGACACACAGCCGCACCTACTCGAAATGAGATCTTGTTGCATGGAGACTCACGATCAATGTGATAGCCCTGATAGTCCGTGGCAGTGGCGTCGATCGTTGGCAAACGGCCGAGGACTCTCTTCAAAGCAGCACAGCTCTATATAACAGCATTAAGGACCAGCCCCCGACCCTAAACCCTAAACCCTAAACCCTAAACCCTCAACCCCAAACCCTAAACCCTAAACCCTGCCCCCGGCGCCGCCCTAAGGCCTCAAAGAGCATGTCGTAGAGCTGCACAGCAAAGGCCTGGTCCTCGGCCTGCCTCCGCTCCAAGTTCTCGGCCATCCTCGGCCGTAAAGCTTGGTGGGCTTTTTTCTTTGCCACCAGCCTTATGGTGTAGGGCTAGGGTCAGGGTTTAGGGTATAGGGTTTAGGGTCTAGGGTTTAGGGTTTAGGGTTTAGGGTTTAGGGTCTAAGGCTAGGGACCATGAGCTGGTTTGATCTTTGGCTGTAAGCTGTTAGGTATACCTGTTAAGAAGGACGCGCAACTCGACGATGGCTGGATGTGGTGAGTGCAGTGCCTAAGGCGTGGCATTTGAGGATTGAAAATTGAATTGTCACATCCTGACGCAGCAGACATGAACCCCCCCCCCCGCACTTAAGAAACAAACAGAAGATACGCAAAATGTGGGGAAGCTGTGCATATATGGTTTGATTTATGCTGAGGGGTTTACCCCTAAACTCCAGAGAGTCACAGCCCAACACCTGCATCGAGCGTCGTCGGGCGCGTGGACTTCATGGCCCTGTCGATGAAGGAAGTCATGACCTCCGGGCTGCCAGAATTGAAGAGTTTCCAGGACGGGGCATTGAGCCTCGCAACCCCTGTGGTCAAAACATACACAAGCCGTGGAGGGGATTTTCCAGGGTATACATCATGCACCATTCTACGACGGCTCAGGAGGCCTTTGACGACCCAAAAAAAACCTCAACCCTGAACCTTCAACCCTAGATCCCTAACTTGCTGAGATCGCTGCCGGAGGCGCGCAGTCGGTTCGACATGGTTCGACCCTGAACCCTTCTTCCAGCCCGGAGCGACCCTGAAGCCCGAAAAACTCCACGGGCGAGGGCTTCTGTGAACCTTCTATCGGGCTGAAATTGTAGGGTTTAGGCGGTTTAGGGTTTCGGATTGGGGGGTTTCGGAAGGGAGGAGTCGGAAGGAGGAGTCCGCACATACGAAGAGATGCCCTTCCCCTCATGCCGGCACAGAGATACTGGTATTTTACAAGAACACAAGCCTAAACCCGAACCCGGAACCCTAAACCCATGCGCCCCCAACTTGGATCCTGACCCCTGCAATCCTTCAACCCTGAACCGAGTCACAATGTTGTAGACCGCCAGGGTAAAGAAGACCTTTCAAAGCTTGAGGTGGCGGCTCCGGTTGGCTTGGCAAAGGGCTTTCCCTACAAGGGTTGGTCTAAGCTTCTTTGGGTCTGGTATAGGGATTTGGGGGCTTGCAGTTGCAACTGCAGACCTCCAACCAAGGCTGAAGCAACTTCATAGCAGCAATCTGGCACGCAAACTCTGCTCAGATTTCAACAAGCCAGGCGTGACTCAGTGTCCCTAAATCCGAGGCCTGTTGCTGTGAAGGCCTGAAGTTTGGGTCCACGTCTTCATGCAAGCAGGCTGCGATGAAAAACACCAGAATCCCACCAGGAATGGACCCTGTCTCGTAGACCAAACCTGCGCGGGCAAAAGCGCATTCGAGAACTCGCGTTCGGCGAACATCGTTGACAAGACCTCCTGCATACTCATGACCGCTGTCTGCTGCCAGACTCGTGCAACATTCAAGAGTCCAAACCCTAGAATCCCCAGAGGGCAATGGCGGCTGCGTCCGCTGGCTGCATGGCTTAGCCATGTACAAATGCACACTCACATAACAACACTAAGACACAAAAGGCACGGCAAGACACATCGCACGCGCACATGAAAGCTCAGAAGGAGACCTTGGGAGCATGGTTTAGGGTTTAGGGTTTAGGGCGTAGGGTTGCAGAATGCGGGGATGCAGTCAGTTCGAGACCGAGGCACGGTGGATGTCGATCCAATCCTCGCCGCCGGTGGTGCAGCCCAGCAGCGTGAGCATGCACATGAACCTCCGGGTGAAGCAACGCGGAAGCCGACACAGAAAAGTGGTCTGCGTTTCGTCTTTGTTCCGTCGCTTTTTGGCCGGAGGTCTTTGCGGTTTCTTAGGGTTTGCTACGGCCTTGAGTTTGGGGTTGAAGTATACAGGTGTCTAAGTTTTCTGGGGCTTTGAGTTTGGGGCTGTTTGCGTATTGTGTTTTTGGCGTCAGCAAAATGAAGCAAGCCGCACGCTGTTGAAGTATCGCTGGTAGTCAGTCCACCATGTCCTTGGAGGACTTGGGTCACATCAATTACTGAGTAAGCTTCGTTCACAGAGGTCACCCAGTTGCTGCACGCTGTTGATGTAGGCGAGGGACCAATTTCGGCCAAGGCAATACATGTTAATACGGCACGTGCCTGAGAAGGAGTGAGTCGTCTGTCTGTGGCTTGATCCTGACACACTACAACTTCCCAACAACCCTAAACCCTAAACCCTAAACCCTCTGACTTTAAATACCAGTGGCTGGTTGAGGGCATCGCCTTCGCTGCTGACGTGCATCACCTGGGCAGACGACACCAAAGGGGGGTTTAGGGTTTAGGGTTTAGGGTTTAGGGTCTAGGGTCTAGGGTCTAGGGTTTAGGGTTTAGGCTTTAGGGTTTAGGGTTTAGGGTTTAGGGGCGTCGGATTACAGCATGCGGGCTCCGCAACGTCTTGTGTCAACGGGACCAGAACGTTGGCTTCCACAGCCGAGGCGCTCCCATCTGAACCTTACGTGCACACTGCGGTTTCTGCAAAAGCGGACGAGCTCGTGAGCAAAGGTGGAATCTTGTACGAGCCGCTTGTGAGCCCATGATCCCACACTTCCGAGCCAGATTTTCAGGATGACCCACATCATTACACGGGAAAGCCTTGCTAAGTCGCCACGTCAAGCTTTCGCTGACCGAGCAAAATCTACAGCCTACGTTTAGGGGATAGGATTAAGGGGACCCTCAAGAGGGTTAAGAAGGGTTCCCCTTTTAAGGGTCCCCTTATTCTGCCTAGGAACGTTGCTGCCGTTGGTTTGCAACCCCTGCGAACGGGATTTCTTGGCTCCACCCTCGGGTGCCCATGCAAAGCATGGAGCCTGGTTTAGGGATTTTAAGGGTGAAGGGTTTCAGGGTTTCAGGGTTTTAGGGTTTTAGGGTTTTAGGGATTTAGGGTTTTTAAGGGTTTTTTAGGGTTTTTTAGGGTTTTTTTAGGGTTTTTTAGGTTTTTTAGGGTTTTTTAGAGTTTTTTAGGGTTTTAGGGTTTTTTAGGGTTTTAGGGTTTTAGGGTTTTAGGGTTTTAGGGTTTTAGGGTTTTTTAGGGGTTTAGGGTTGCCGGGGAGCGAAGAAGATGGCGAAGAGGCAAAGGAGGAAGGCCAGCAGCACCAGCGACCAGAACTTGGCGGGGGCTCGACTTTGGAGGTGCGCCTCTAAGAGCCGCCAAGCTACTCTACTAACCCAAAGAGCCCAATATTGCTTAATTAAGGAATATTCCTTAAATCATATAGGGATCCTTAGTATGATATAAGGTATATTCCTAAAATTAAGGGATATTGGGCTCTTTGGGAATCTGGGTATTCCCCTCTTAGGGGTTCCCCGAGTTACTAGGGCCTAGTATGCCCCAAAATACAAAACTCCAAAACTCCTTATTATAGGAACCCCACAAGGGTACCCCTACTTTCGGAGAGCCCCATAATTGCACAATATGATATAAGGTATATATTCCTTAATTAAGGGATATTGGGCTCTTTGGGAATCTGGGTATTCCCCTTTTCAAAGAAGAATGAAGGCCCCGCTGTTGCACACGCACGCGTGGCGCCCTGTTCTTTCATACGTACGCCGCTGGTCTTGACGGAACGGCTTTGCTGCCTGATGTGAAAGATGCTGCAGGCCTGTTACAGTCTGCTACACGCCCTGGACTTCTGAGTGGCAGCCATATCGGTTGGGCTTCGACTCTCAAGCTGGCACAGGCGGGCGAGGACTTATCACAGATCCTCTCTGTCTGGGATCAGGGTCGCTGAACCGAGGTCCGTGAGTTGAAGGTCCGCCGCCACGAGTGCCACCAAAGCAGTCCAGCCTGCAAATGGGGCAGCCCCTTTGCCCTCGCCGGTCTTCGGATCAAAGTTCTCCATGAGAAAGCGCTGGCGTTGCAGCGCGCCCAGCACGACTTCCACAAAGCCCCCTTTGAGGGAGCGCCACGCGTCCTGGGCCTGTGGCAACGAACACCTCTGCAGTGCTGACAGCGTCAAATAGTTGAGGTTCGCCCACACCTTTCCACGCCAGTAGTCCTCACCCTGCCGGAATAGCGGGTCCTTGCGCGACAGCGACATGACGCCGTAGGGGCTCCACAGCTCTCCCTTCGTTGGTGTGAGCGCTTGAAGGAGTTTCTCGGCTCGTGGATGGTCACAGGGCAACAGCCCGAGAAAGAGCGGAAAAAGCGAGACGTATCCCAGGTGGGGCGAGAAGGCTGGCGCCATCCCTTTCTTCACGCTTCGCTCCTCCAGTTTTGTAAACCGCCTGCAGCCCGGGCAATCACAGAAGTCGGGTGATCCGCCACACCAGCCGGAAGGAGAGCAACACGGTGCGCCGCCATAAGGGTCGCACTCTCCTGGCGCACGAGAAACCGGAAATTGGGGGCCACATCGCCCGTCTGTTCGCCATGGAGGCAACACCTGGACTTTCCCACGCTCGACCGGCTGGACGCCCAAGAAATCTGCCAACGGAGCCGTCGCAGGTGCTTTGGGGTCTGCGAAGATGTCAAACAGGCTGGCGTTCAGGTGCGTTGCCCGCTCAGACCACCGTGGACGGACGCATAATCTCCCATCTTCCTCGTGGCTCAACATACTTCGGGATCGAAGCTGCTCGCACAGTTGAGCCAAGGTCCGGGCAAAAAGAACCATCCAGCTGTGCAGGTCCAGGTGGCACTCGTCCTCATTCACCAGCAGGCCACGCGGGTAGTCGTCAAGGCCACTGGCCAGGCAGTGTGCCGCTGTGCGGCCCCGCCACCGGAAGCAGCCCTTGGGATTCGAGGACTTCTGGCTGCGCTCGAGGAAGGCGAACCAAGCGCCCAGGCGCGGGAGCGCCGCGGCGCTGAAGGACAGGACCAGGTCCCGTAGCTCGTCTCTGGAAATTCCGGCTTGCTTGGCCACCTTGTGGGACGTCTCCGCGTCGAGCTGCAACAGCCAAGCCAAAGGCAGGAGAAAACTCGGAGGGTTTGCCACCTCGGGGTCCTGCTGCAAGAACTGCTTGGGAACTCGCACTTCTTGCTCGGCTCCCAGTGGCACCTCTCGAGGGATCCACCCAGATGGTTGTTGGAGCTCAAGCCAATGTGCCAGAATGTCCAGAAAGATACGTGGCTGCCATCGCGACAGCAGCAAGCCATGAAAACCCTCATCCCACAAGAAGCCCCGAGGGAAGAAGGAACGCGAGGGCACGCCAGAGAAAAGAACTGCAGGTGGAAGCCTTTCCACACCCTTGCGAGCTTTGGCAAGGAGCCGGCCCCGGAAGGAGCCCAGGCCACCCAACAGGCTGGAGACGGCCACGGCGATCTCCGCGGTGGGACGGTCTGCGTCACGGCCTTCTGTGCCTCCACCGAAAATCTCAGTGACCTTCTCATTGAAAGCTCGGGACCTGCTTGTCGCCAGCGCATCCAGCATGTCGCTCTCTTCTTCACGGGAGCCAAGGCCTGCACTGCCGAATGCCACGTGCGCGTCAATGCGAAGTCCCGGCGGCACTCCCGCGAGCTGGAATGCTCGGAAGTTTGCTTCTCTCATCTCTTCATCCGGCAAGACCAGGATGGTCTTGGCGGGCTTGCTTGCGTTGGGCGCCACTCGCTTGAAGAGCTGCTGGAGGTGCTTCTTGGCATCCCAGACGCCCGTGAGGGGTGCGTCTTCCTCGCTGGCTTCCACCTCGTGGGGCACCAGTGCTGCAGCGTGGTGCCATCGCGTTCGGGAGGCCGGGGCCCGAAAGGAAAGCCTCGCCCGGAAGGGTCCCTGGGCCGGGTCTTTGCCAGCCAGCAGAAGCGATCTGCACCGAAACTCCCCACAAGTTTGCCAATCTGGGTCGTATGATGTCAGCTGCAAGCTGTGACTGGCTGCCTCAATGCCCAAGTAGATGAAAAGCGATGCTGCTCGAGGTTTGCTTGAGTTCGACAAGGGCTCCGTCACCACACGTGCATGCCATTTCAGCCTCGGATGGACCTTAAAATCCTCTGACGAAAAATTTCCTATATTTGATCCCCTGAAAAACCTTTAAAAACCCAATAATGGAACATATGAAATATTTCAAGGGCCTACCGAGGAGCGCGCCCTCCTTCACGAAGGTTGTGTCCAGCTTCAGCTGCAACTTCTGATCCTCGAGGCTCTGCCGCCCGTAGTTGCGGCCATCATGCTCCAACCAATTGAAGGCCTGGAGATCCCCGGACTCACACTCGTGGCGTAGCACTTTGCCGTCCATTGAGCCCCAGGCCAGGCCAAGCAGAAGAGAGTTGGCATGCCGGGCCTTCACACCGAAGTAAATGCCCGGCCGGTAGGTGCCCCAGGCCATCTCCTCGCGGTAGGCCTCCGGAAAAAGCCGAGGGTCATTCACCAGAATCGGCGCGGAGGCAAGGTCGAATCTCAACGCCGACTCATCCGAGCCCCAGAGCCAATCCAGCCAAGCGCCGGCAACGGTGCTGAAGGAGAAGAAGGCATACACTAGCCGCATTGCTCCGGCCATCTCCCAAAATCAATTGGAGGTGTTGTGTGCTGAGTCTTTGTCAACAATAAAGGGTTTTCACATTTCTGCTATATAAATACATACAAACAGAAAGAGTGTATGCAGGCACGTTTGTCTGCATGTGTATGTCTACATATACGCGCATGCGCATGTTTCACTGCGTTTAATACTGTCTGACTGTTCACGCTTTGCTTCGGGCGGGAGAAGTGGCACGGAAACTGGTTCACAGCCCGTTCAAGTTGCGGGTGTGCGTCTTCGACTCCAGTACGGCTGTTTATGATCACTTCGCAATACTTGACACAAATTGATGACAAATTGGGCTGGAGAGTATAGAAGTCATAAATAACCAAACAAACATATATATATATACATACATTTACGGTCATGCCAACGTCTCAACTCCCTACACTTTAATCCCAGATAAGCCCAAAACCCCAAACCCTAACCCTCGACCGGCATGACGAAGCCGGGCCAGGCGACCATGGTGAACACGCAGCCCAGGAGGGAGTCCAGGATCCTTCTGCTCGTTGCCAAGAGCAGGGTTTAGGGTTTAGGGTTTAGGGTTTGGGGTTTAGGGTTTAGGGTTTAGGGTTTAGGATTTAGGGTTTAGGGTTTAGGGTTGTCAGTTGAAAGGCTTTCTTCAGGGTTTGGGTGTAGGGTTTCGACTCTGAGTGCCTTGTCAGAAAACCATCCCTGAGCCCGAAAAGAGGACCACCAACGCCCACTAACGACCCTAGACCCGACTGAACGACAGGGATCTCATGGCTGGGCTTGGAGTTGCACTTTGGGGTCCGGGCAAGGCCCTGGAATTCGGATGGCCAAGGCAGCCGTGAGTCGTGCGTAGGTCTTCCAGGGCTCGTAGCGCCTTAAGCATCCGAGCGATCCTGGCAAGGTTTGACGTTGCGTTGACAACTAAACCAAAGCATTGACACTGATGATCGGGACAGGGCGTCTAGAAGGATGGCGACATGCATTCCAAAGAAGCAAGTGCCTCAAGCTGTCCATATCCGGGCAGATGGGCCCCCTCCCGCAGATGCCTCGCCTGCCCACTTTGACCAGTCGGACGATGCGCAGGAAGGTCGGGTTCAAGAGTGACCTGGATGCCGTTTCCAGTTGCTTCAAGGCTTGGGCCCCTCGCACTCCCAGGCAGCAGGCAAGGTTTAGGGATCCAGAATATTCAGAGCTTAACAGCTTACATGAGAGGTTGAAATGGCATGCCTTGGGATGTCGACTACGAAAGAGAAGAGAGTGAGAGAGAGAGCGAGTGAGTGAGTGAGCACCCTCCTTCCGAGGCCCACACGCGGCCAAGAGCTCCATGTAAGCAAAGAGAACCAGCCCAAAATCAAAGCTGTTCCAGCCGCCATCCGCATTCACCTACCAGTTGGCTTTCGCTTCTGTTGGTTCACTGCTACCAGCAAATGGGGGGCGGAGTTGCTGGCGCTTGGGCAACTGCGCTCGCCTACTCGGATCTGACGGAAATAAGTGCCCAGGGCGGGTTTGCTAGGGGTATATATATATATATAGATATATATATATATATATATTCATTCCTTATAATATGATTTGAGGAATATATATATATATATATATTCAGATTCCTTTAGGGTCCTTCGGTGGAAAGGACCGGGCCGTGCAGGCTAAGCGTTGGAGTTTTGCGGCTCTTGGGGCTCTGGGTTCGGCCGTTAGCCCTTTGACCCAAAACAAACTAAAGTTTAGGGTTTAGGGTTTAGGGTTTAGGGTTTAGGGTTTAGGGTTTAGGGTTTAGGGTTTAGGGTTTGTAGGGTCCCTACACTTCAGGTTGCTCCAAGTACCTGCAGAGCTCGGCATCTGACCGCAGAAACTGCCGACCAGCTGGCAGCCAAGCTGCGAAGAAATAAAGCCGATGGACTGCGAGCTTCAGAAGCAGCTCCTGCATGCGAATGAGAAACCACACCCCCCCTGCTCTGCCCTACTGAGTCCCTTCTTCCGGTCCAGCGTGTAGAAGGCTGTGAAGAGGTGGCCGAGGATGACAAGTTCAATCGGCTCCTCCTGCCAGGTGATGTTTCTTGCATTCCGAAAAGCACTTCCTCGCTCTGAGACCCCTTCAACAAGTTCCCTGGCGAACAGCACTGAAGACCCACCATTGTTCGTTTCCTTGATATCTTTGCACCTCGCACCTGATGGACACCTGATGTGCACTCAGTAGCTGCTTGAAAGTTTAGGCCCTGGAAACCCTGGACATACTGACTGCTTCCTGGATAACAACTCGTGGGCCGGAATGTCCTTCCCGATGTTTGCCATGGCCCAGTTGCTGGAGTGAATGATGACCCCGGCGTTGGCCATGATAGCCTGTGGGAAGGTCTGGGTTCAAGTGTGCGGCCTAGACAGAACAGGTTGACGTGCCGCGTTTAAGATCGTGCGCCCGTGGCCCCCGATGCTTATCATTATCATCACTGGGCTTCTGGCCAGCAAGCAAATCGTCTGAAACCTTGGCTGCGTCACTGCCATCTCCATTAGGCAGTATGGAATCGCAACCATACGTAGAGGTTTGCATGAAAAAGTCTCGAAGATGGAAGTCTACTGACGCAGCCGCACTGGATAATGCATGGGTCGAGTCGATGCTGTTTTCCGCACGCAGCGTGAAGCTGTTCTCTGCAGGTCTCGCAGGAGCGTCGGTCGTACTCTGCCGCCACTCTCCTTGCCAGCCATGGGAGCATGCGATAGCGCACCTGCGAATGCAGCAGCTGCAAAGCCATCTTCCAACTGCCCGAGCTGCAGAGTCCGGAAGAAAAAGATGGCGTGATGGCGCTGGGCAGGAAAACAACGTTGAGATACAGGGTGCGTTTAACCATCTCTAGGCCTTCCTTGGTAACCCGGGCGTGCCGCCAGGTGAGGACGATGCCCGGGGCGAAAGATGAGGCCAGTGGTTCCAGGACGAGGCCAGCGCCCGGCCGCCCTGGCCGACAGGGTGTGGATTGCAGGAGGTCCGAGATGAGCTTCTTCCCAAAGAGCCCAGTTCAGCCCGGCTGCCGATGGCTAGCGAAAACCGGTCGTATCGGCTTGCAATCCAGCGGCCACTGCCTTCGCTCCAATCGCCCTGCCGTTAAAGGACACACGCTGAAAAAAACAGCGAGCTCGGCCTCCAGCTCGCAAAGCATGCGAGGAGCATCGCATGGGGCGCAACCCTGGCTAAACTATGTTTTTAGCACACTATTGGATAAGTTTTAAGGTTATGATACTGCATCATACCCATACCTGCAGAACCCTAAGGAGGGCGAGGCTTGGGCTCGTAGCACCGGGCCACCGCTCTGCGAGCGAGGCTTTGCACCTGGCCAGAAGCTACTGTCTTCCTGTTTTTTGGGGCGGGGGGGGGGGGGATTCTTGCGGATTCAACGATGTTCAAGAAGGGTGGGGATGTTCCCCTTCATAGTAACAGTCCTTAATAGGGGTCATCATAGGGGGCATCATCCCTCTTAAGGATTGTTCCCAAAATTAGGGGCTTCAGGGTAGTTTTGTGATGTTGAGTGCTTTCGGGCGAACTAAAGGCCCCGGTTCCCCCCCCCCCCCCCCCCCCCCCCCCACAAAACAAAAGATGCCTGCTTGTTTTGGTCCCCTGTCAGTTCTTGGAGCTTGTCGAGGTGCGGTATCAACCTAAGCAGAACGGCCCACTTACAGACATTGCTGCTAGGGAGATGGTGCGGCGCACAGCTTGAGGCTGACACTGGGCTGGCAAAACGTGAGAAAAAATGACGGTCTAGCCGCTATGAGCCGATGGATTCAGTGCCTGTTGCCTTGACGCTCTACCCATCACCGGCCGCCCCTTACAGGCCCAGGCACTCACCGGGTTTGCACTCCACGAGTGCTCGGAGAGCATTCCAGCGGACGAGGAGCGTATCCTGCCCACACTGCATTTTTGCACTCCGTGAGGATAGAAAATAGTAGGACCATCGACCCCAAATCTTCAACCCTGAACACCCCGATGCATTGGAAGCGATCCGAACAACTCATTTTGGAAAAGAGGAGATTCAAAGGTCGTCGGACACATGCTGCCGAAATCCATCTCAGGAATCCCTCGTGCTCAACGCATTCAGGCAGGTTCGCCAGAGCCCCACCTTCAGTCGCTTGGCCAGCACAGGGACGTATCTCAGCAGGGCGGCTCGGGCTGTCCCAAATCGTGCAAAAGATGCAAGCCCAAGGATGGTTCTCAGGAAAGCAGAGGAAAGGCACAGTTATCATTAGCACTATTTAATCACTATTTCACTAGAAAGGAGATCACGAACATTAAACACATTCTGGCTGTTGTTCGTTACTAGTAAGGCAAATACAGTATCTACGAATCGAACCTACAAGGCAAGTCCCTACACGGCAAGTCATGCAAGTTGCGGGGCAACCAGGAAGGGATCCAGCTTCGCCATTGCTTGGCACACGGCGATCCGAATCTCGACGTCCGGATCCTTGCAGCACACATCGTGCCCCCAAGGGAGTACCCAGATCTTCCACAAAACCCTTAATTAAGGAATATACCCTAATTCATAATAATGATCCTTAGAATAAATTAGGGTAGATTCCTTAATCCGCCGAGGCCTCGGGCCGGAGGTGTATAGGTTGTCAGAACAGGCACCCCCCTCCAAATCCTCCCCCCACACCCAAAACCATTTTTCGGACCCCTTTTTTTGCCTCAAATGGGTCCCCCCTAGGAAACCGCAAGCGGACGGTTTGCCAGGACCAGAGGCAGTTGAAGCCCCTCCCAGCAGGCCCCCGCCCTCCACCCCCCTGCCCTACCCCCCACCCCCCACCGGAACATGGGGGAGCGGTTCAACTGGTGTGAGCACAGCCGGGGATGCATTACACGAAGCTTGAACCTCAGGACTGAACCTTAAACCTTAAAACTTAAGCCCGAAGCACTCCCCCCTCCCCCTTACCCCCCCTACCCCCCCCCCCTACGATCAATCCAAGCCGAACCATCTCTTGAACCCTAAACCCAAAAAACCCTAAACCCGAAAGCGTGAACCTTGAGCCCTAAGCCCTCAATCCTAAACTAACCCTCAACCCTAAACCCCAAACCATAAACCATGAACCCGGAACCCTAAACCCTAAACCCAACCCTTCTTGCTGGGGGTCCAGCGACTTGGGCGCTGCGGAATCACCATGCTCACGAGGATGCGCTGGGCCGGGCCGAGGCGGGTCGCGTAGCGTTAAAATTAAGGGGTTTTGGAAGATCTGGGTATAATTTCCCCAGTCGAGTACCATCGCCCCAATGGAGTCTCTTTTGGCCCTTCTGTTGTCTGGGGCATTTTGAAACCGGCACATGGCTGGAAACAAGAACCCATCCCCAGCACGCACGTGACCCTCTCCTGACTCAGGCCTGCCAGCTTCGGCAGATGCCTTAGGCGGTGCTGACACACACACACACACATGTAAAGCCAGGCCTAGACAATACCGACATCAATCTGAAGTTTCGGGACTGCACCGGACTGGGAGATGTTTGTCATCTCTGTCATTATAAAAGACTTGCTGGAGTTCAACACACATGACAACGAACATGCCGATGCGTGTTTCGTTTTTCACATAAGAGTACCGGTCGAAGGGAGCTTCATGGGAATTGGAAAGAGAATGGTCACTTTTGCGGGGTGGTCTCTACGATCCATCTCTTTAACTAGGATGGTTCTTGAGAGAACTGTCTCTGAGGTTCGAGCATTCTGGGGGTGTGCCACCGAGAATTCTCAGACACGATCGACAAGCCACTGTATCTGAGAAAGAGACATGCCTGGGATGGGGGATTGCAACAATCTGCAACATAGCAACATCTGACTTCGGCTAGGTAGCCACGAGGAACCTGCCGAACACACTTGTAAAGCCACAAGAACTATCAAGAAGGGTCTTTGTTAGCATGAGCCTTCATGGGGTGCTGCGGCGCATTCTGCACATGCTGATGCAGGTAATTCAACGTCTTTGCTCGAACTGCTGCTCACACACACACACACACATCTTGAAAACCTGTCGTTGCAAGAGTATGTAAACCTGCCTCTGGTTCCAAAGCCCGTCACAAAATGGGGTCGAACTGCTGACTATTGAAGAACCACGAACTTCCTGTCTCCACAGCCGCGATCTCCACGGCAACCGAGGTGCGGCGCAAGCAGCGGCGCACGGCAGCGGGCCAGTCCCTGGGAGGCTGCACCTGCGGGATGCTGCATCAGGAAGGGGAGGGGGAGGATGGAGAGGGGAGAGGGAAGGGAGGGGGAGGAGGAGGAGAGGGGAGGTTCCGGTCAAAATCTAGCACGTTGAGGTCCGGTCTTTGGAGTTGGGTGAGGCAGTCGGAACAGAAGGAATTGAAGGTTGGATTCCGGTCCGCGAGCGCACTCCCGAAGATCACCTTCCCTTCCACTCTTTAGAGTCTCATAGCCTCTCACAACCACCTTCTGAAAACCCTACATATCATCAGAGATCATGATGAACTCAGGCAGCCAAAGGTGCGGCGGATGGCCCAGTGCTCGTCGTCTATGTGGCGGGCGAGCGAGGCCGAGTGTGGTGACACGGCAGCTTCATCTGCATGGTTTCTTGGCCCTCTGTTTTCAAGGGTTCAGACGAGAAGGTTTTGTTCATGCACCTTGGCCCACCACTACTTCAGGCAGATTGGACCCCAGGGCTCAACAGGCTCCACTGACAGCAGCGCTCTGCAATCCGGCACATGCCCAAAGCTTGCACACGCCAGCCTTTGACGAGAGCAAAGGCTCGGAAAGCAGCCACCACCATACGGGGGTCCTTCAGCTCGAGGCAGGAAGACTGGGATTGCTTTGTAGGAAGTGGGGGGGAGCTGCTTTCGGCAAATGAACAGGTGGAGGAGGTGTGTAACATTGAGCCGCCGAAGCGATACAATTGATTTCAAATTCTGCAAAGCTAATGCTGCCAGACGCAATTCCTAAACTTCTTCGACCCCGCTGTGGGGTATAGTTTCGGAGTGGAGATCTCAGGAAACCAACCTCGCCACACGAGCCAGAAAACTCATTCTATCACATGTCACACGGACCTCATCTTCAAAACATCTGGCCAGCAGGGCTGCCGAAGGCGTCACGGACCACTCGTCACAAGCTCCGAGGGCCTCACCTGTCGACCGAACAAAGGCAAACACAACCTTTGAGACCCACTGAGGAAGCAGTTTCCCTGGCACGGCAATGGTTGAGGTGGTTGGGGCCAGGCAGCGCAGATGAGATCCCCTACAAGTAATGCGACGAACTCTGAAATAAAACCTGCAGGTTGAACTTATCCCCTTGCATGCTGCTTCTGCTATACAGCAACACGAACTGCACGACCACCAAGATCTCACCAACATCTGATCAAGGAAACAAGTGCACACACCAAGCTGCCATAACGGATGGAGGGGCCGTTAACACAACAACTGAGGCAGTTCACGCCCTCTTGAGCCCCCTTGAGCCAGGAGTTGCCACATCCCGTAACTGCTGCCCCGCAGCATGCTGCAACGCGGGCGCG